AACAATTTTAATCACACGGTCTAATTGTTTTTCAACTTCACTTTTGAAGGTTTTGAAACATTCAAGGACTAAAGACTTCTCACTAATGAGGAAAACATAACTGTATTTAGAGTAGTCATCTACGAAATTCACAAAATAAGAGTTCCCACATATGGTTTTGATAGGAAAAGGTCCATAAACATCTGCATGTATGATTTCTAACAGGCCATGACTTCTTTTAGCATCTAGTTTCCTAATATTTGTCATCTTTCCTTTCATACAATCAACATACTCAACTGCACTCTTGAAATCAATAGCCGGAATCAAGTTCATTTTGGACAATTGAAAAACCTTTTCTTTTGAAATGTGTCCTAATCTTTTGTGCCAAAGAATGAAAATTTGATCAAAACCATGTATTCTTTTGGTTGCAATACTTAAGACATGTAAATGGTCAGTTTCTACAGTGCAATCTATTTTCCAAAGTTGGTCATGCATAAAAGCTTTTCCTTGTAGAGAACCTTTTCTAAAGAACTTGACACATTCATTATCTCCCATGAAAATATAGCCTTGTTTCACTAACTTTGATGCTGAAAGTAGGTTTCCTCTCATTGCAGGCATAAACAGAACATCATTCAATCGCATTATTATGCCAGTAGATAATTTCAATTTAACTATACGAAGGGCTTTGACAGACACTTTGGTTCCCTCACCAACAAAAACATGAAAACAATTTGTTTTCTTTTGTTTTTCAAAACCATGTAAGGAATTAGTGATATGAACAGATGAACCACTATCAAACCACCAAGAGTTAGCAGGAATATCAATGAGATTCGACTCCTCACACACATAGACATCAGCTTTTCCTTTAGCCCTTAACCAATCCTTGCAAATTTCACAGTCCCTCCTATAGTGGCCTTTAGATTTGCAATGATGACACCTAATCTTTTTAATGTTTTTAACTTTGACCTTAAAATTATTAGATTTAGAGGAGTTGGAATTTTTAGCAGATATAACAGACTTATCATGTTGCTTAGGTTTAGAAGCATTACCAGATTAATGTGCTTCTTTCCCTTTGCAATTTGCACATAATTGATAGCTTTAGTCTCCTTGCTATTTTCTTGTTTTTGGCGGTTTTCTTCTTGGACACATTGAGCAATCAATTTATACATTGTCCAAGTCTTGTCTTGAGTGTTATAAGACACTTTTAGTTGATTGAACTTTTGTGGCAATGCTTGTAGAATCATGAACACCAATTGTTTTTCCCCAATGTTGACATCCATTTAATTAAGTTTCTCAGCTGCATCGGTCATCTTCATAATATGTTCTCAGATTGAACCTCCACCCTCGAATTAGTAAGATGTCAAAAGGAACATGTGCTGAGCAATTTCAACCTTTTCAGATTCTTTAAATTTGTTCTCCACAACATTTAGATAATTCTTTGCTAGTTCACACTTCTTGATTCCTCCTCGCACCGTGTCTGTCATGCCACTTTCAAGAATGGATAGAGCCACTTTATTACCCGTAGTCCATCTCTTAAACTCAGCCTTCTCACTCTTTGTGCTTTTATCGGTCAATGCTGCAGGCTTTGGCATGTCAAGTGCAATATCAAACTCATTTAGTGTCAAAAGCAACTCGATTTCTCTTCACCACTTCTTGTAATTGCTCCCACCAGTGAGTATTGGTACCACACCTAAACTGATTGACTTTAATGAAACCGCAGAAGACATCAATGAAATCAGAACTTTGAATCTATAATGATTCCTGATTTCGGTCTTTCTCAACACAAATTGAGTTCATTGAATCAACTTAATCATATATATAGCCTTTCATATTGAAGACATATATAGAAAAAAAAACAATTCAAGATCACTAAAGTCAATCGCACAAAATCTGCAGAACTTCTTTTAAGTTTGATGCTGCAAAACTTGGTTAACACAAAATACAATATGCAATGATAGGACACACACCAATCCGTAAAATTTCAAAGCTTTTGTGTTAATTATAGCAGCGGAAGCATTATAACAACTACAGAATATATTAAGCTTGAAAAAACGAATTGAGCCAACATATAAACTTAGTTATTCAATCATTTTATCCTAATATTGCCATCAATGTCGAGTGAATTTAGTTTTACATGGAATGAAAACATACCTTTTCAAAATCAATTTCTTACGATTGTTAATCTTTAGCATCAAATTTTGAATTGAAACCAAAACTAAGGGGTAAAGTTCGCAAGGAGAACTTCTCAGGTAACAAACAACAAACTCAAAAACCCAAAACATAATGGTCAAATTTTTAAAAGAACCTTTTCAAAGTTATAACGGCTCTTTAACGAAACGGCACCGTTTATTGACAGAGTTATTTTTTTTTTAACTCAACCTTCGATCCCGGTTTTGTATCTTTTCGAGCAAAATAAAAGATTTTATGAATCGAATTCAATGATTAATTAGAACCTAGGGATCTGATACCACATGTAAGAATACTTTACAAGGATAAAGATTCAATCAATTGAATCACAATTCTCAAAAATCAAGATAAGAATACTGTAAATTTGTAAGCATGAAACTTTTAACTTTTAACTTGTAATTTGTTTATAAGCTGATCAAAAGAGTTTAATGGTCAACTTTGGCTAGCCCCTTGAATTTTCTTTGCAATATTTATATCATTGTCGTCGTTACAATCGTTAGAATAATACGCTGTGTAACAAATCTGTGTTGTGTTCCTTTTCAGTTTCAAATTTTCAAAACACAGTTTAATAGCAGTGGAGGAAAACCAAACTTTAAAGTCATCCACTGCCATCTGCGTTGCTACTCTCTGCCCTTTACCAATTTGAGAACCCGTATCTACATTTGCACCTATGCCTACGAAATTGTCGTCCTTCCTTCTGTCACTACTTCCATCAATCCTCAACGTTTGTCTAAATATTAAAACAAAGACCATGAAGGACAACAAAGCGGGAAACTTTTCCAGTCTGTGCAAATATGGCAGACACTGGTTCGTATTCTTTTCATGTTTATAACAAATACAATTGGTCTTATATAATCACTCAGATGTTAAACGTGGTCCCTGATTTTCTCGTGTCATGGTCAATGCAAGGAATTGGTTTTCCTACTTTTGATCATCAGTAAGGGCCAAACTTATCTGTAGAATGAATGGTTAATTACCTTCCTGGTCATGAAGAAGACAACAAAAATGTGACAGTAGAAGAAAGAGAGAAGAGAAAATCAGAAATAAACTGTTGGAAATTCAAATCAAAACAGGTTGTAAAATATTGCTGCTAGCTGTTTGTTTCTTTCCAGCTACAAAGAACAAAGTCTCCTCCATGTGCTAGCCGAAAGGTGTTGAAAGACAGCAAGGAATGATGCAGAGCATGTGTGTAAAAGTGTCTAGCAGCTGGTGCATATGTGAAAGGGTGTAAAGATGGTAATCACCATCTGTCGCTGCATGTGTGTGTGCCAGATTGTTCTAATCTGTTTGAATGATTGTATGTGTTGTTGTATTTTTTTTATTTAAAGCACTTGAGTGGTTCTTTGCTGTTTGGCTTGTATAAATAAGCCTCCTTGCTAGGCTTTAGTATAATCCCCATCCGAATCCCATTTTCTGATTGTATTCTCTCATGTTCATAAGCTTGTAAGCTTCTGTCTTTTTTTCATCAGTTTGTAAACTGCCTTTTATTTCATATATCAAGAAAGCTTGTTTAGTGGAAGCTTGTTATTTCCTATCCCTTCTCCATTTGTTAGTACAATTTTATTGAGAGTGAAGTGAGAGGTGTGATAGAGTTTGTAAACTTATCACCCACATATTTTGGTATTGAGTAAGCAAACTCCGGTGAATACCAACATAAACTGCATTCATGGGAAATTTCCGAAGCATATTTTGAAGCAGTCGTACTGCAAATCCTTTTCTACTAACGAAAGAACACGCGCAGATTCAAACTTGGGACATCTATTTACAGTTAGAGAGTTAACCAAGTAATTTATATCAACATTTTGTTCATATTACTTAGATTCCAAGCAATTCAGCATCAATTTCCAAGTAACATCTATATACATGCATGCCTCTGTGGTCCACCTTGCACTTATGTACATAAATGTCAGTCCCTACTTTGAATCGTTCATTTGGATTATTTTGAATCTTTTTTATGTATAGACGAGTAGCATTAACTCATGCATCCTATTTGGACTGTTTTAGGAAGACAAGACAAAATTACATTGGGACTAATTTTGGTCTAAATTGTTGAAAGTTTAGAAAATAATGGCCTTTGAATTGTTCCTATCCATGAATTCTTGCAGTTGGAGAAATCTTGACTTTAGATTAATTCTTCGCTCTAGATTGATGGAATGAGATTATGAGTTTAAGAAAGTTTGACCATACTAGTTCGTTTCCTCAAATATGACCGATGGAATTATTTTCGGATTTTAGGGGCCGTTTCCGGTTCCTAGTTGTATAGATCTTTCGTGATCTCTGCTTGATTCTTTATCAAATCATTTAGATTAGCCCTCCTTTTATGTAAACCTTGTCTAGCAAGTATACTTGTATACCAAGTCATAGTAACAGTATATATTTAATTTTTTATTGGCCTTGCGTTTTCACATTATCAACGGGATTGCTATAGGGTTACTTTAGCTGCATCAATATTTTTTCTGGACTGAGGATAATCCATTGTGATGATCTAGGCTAGCAATGTTATATTAGATTATGAAATGATTTTTTTTCATTTCGGATTCTGCCATGGCTAGGAGTTTCAGAGGAGATCGATGAAACTGAAGCAAAACAAAAAAAAAAAAAAAAATATATATATATATATATATATATATATATATATATAGACTGCATTGTGTTTACCAACTTTCTTATATGTGGTGCTGATCATGGGGACATGGTGGTGAAGAAAATGATGGAAGCCCACTGCTGGTTCTTGAGAATCAGACCTTTCAAGTAACAATTCTGCGGAATGTTCTACGTAGAGAACTATCTACTTTGAATCCTAAAGCAATACATAATGCACAACTTTAGGGACTTTGACTGATGATTATTCTTTTTCACAAAATTATATTACAAGTTTCAGTACTTAAAAACACTGTTACAAGTTTACAATGTTTATTCTATGGTATTGAATACGAGCCAACAGTTCGAAAAGAAAAGAAGAACTCCTAGCGAGCCGGTAACGTGTTACACAAAGTAATGGATTAGAGAGTTGGCCTATGTTTTCTATGCAGTGGCTAAAGTTGTACTCTTTTATATGCAAAACTGAATTCTATCCTAATCTACGTGGAAAAATCTTTTCGTTTATCTAATTTTGTTGCAACCGGTATCAATGTCTAGACTTGAGCCTGCAAGGCAGATGCATTCGAAGGATATGGATGACTTTCTTCATTAATATCGCTGTCTTTTCTTGAGCACCTTCTGTTTGGATTTCCCCATCGTTTCATTACATCCAATATTAACTTCCAGTAGGTTTTGTCTATAAGAATTGATTTACTAATGCGAAAAATGTAAACCACAAGACCAATTGTCGATGTCCCCCCTGTGAGTACGAATAGTACCCAAAAGCTGTTGGGGCTTAGACTAGGATTAGCACCATCTGTGTCTGCATCCAAGCACTTCAGAGAGGCCAGCATCTTGTTCTCTAAAGTCCGAAGGTCACCCCTTTCGGTTACCTTTAACATTGCTTCCGTTACACTAGGAAGCAACATAGACCCTTTTGGAAATACCTGTAGCATAAAAGCTTAGTTAATATATGGTTACTTGAATGCAGAAGAGATGAACTTGGTGAGAAGCTAGATAATTACAAATCCAAATCCTCCAACTTTGAAAGTCGGTCCCACTTCCATAAAGGCTTTGCAGTATTTTCCAAGGAATACTTTTGCCAAAGGGGCTTCGAGAAAAGCAGCAGCAATTACTTTACGTCTGAGGGCTAAAGCATATTCTTCTATGGAGTTAAACTGCATAATATTGTTGTGGTGGAAGTGCAAGACTTCCGTTAGATAGGCTGAAATAAAGGATCCCTTACAATAACCAACCATGGCGTTGGTTCGCAGCAGTTCATCAACATCTGCTACGGTAGGTTCAAGCTGCTGGACAGTGAGCATGCTGGCAAGGTTAGCGGTGTATGTCTGCGTGATGATTAGCGCCATATATAGCCAGATCACCATTGTCATCCGAGACAAATTGCTATGCAGCTTATCTCCTTTGCTCAGTTAAATCAAATAGAAGTAGTATTTAGACAATTTAAAAATAAAAAATAAAAAAATAGGGGAAGAGAGTGAAATAAAACAATGATCAATGTGGGTTACGAATTTACCTTGTAAGGAGAAGAGAGTGGTGAAAGATAGCCAAATCAAGCTTCCTATTTGATTTAGCACAGAACCTTTGAGTTCGGGACGGTAGTTTCGCTCTATCAGCCATACAACAAAGCCATTGTAGACATTGGTGGCTCCTATAAGTGCCCACATTGCTTTTGTGAAAGGTTTCATGAATAACCAAGCTTTGTTACATGTTTTGGACCTGACTGGAACTATCATTTTCAATCCTGATTCAGTAAAGGGTTGCGTGAATTCTGCGTGTTCATATCTCCGGGACACTATTGATACATCACCAACCACAGCATCAAATTTCTGCATGACAAGTTTGATTGATCTTAATTATTCCATGAAGTTAAACATCAAATATTGGCATGCAATTTGGATTAATTAACCAACTGCATGAAGATACTAACTACAGAAAGTAAATATCTTACATGCAAATGGATTTGCTTCACCAAAGAATCATACGTTCCTTCGAAAGGAAAGAACTCGTAGGGCAAATGGTAAGGCAGCTCATTTACGGTTGTTTTGAAGAGATCTATTGCAATTCCACTGAAAGAAAAGTTATTTCCCAATGGATCTTTCTTCACATTTACATACTGTTTGAATGTTGATCCTGTCGGAACACCAATTCTCAGCACGTTTGCATTTGTTCTTGGTACAGCCCACCCTTTTGGAGTATACCAAGGCCCTCCTGGCCAAAACACTTGCCCCAAATATCTCATGGAAGATCTGTTAGTAGCACCTTCACCGATAGTCTCTGAGAATCCTAATCCATCTGACCAGTATCCAACTTCTCTGTAACTTTTTCCATTCACATTGATGATTTGAAATACATGTTGCGGAGCTAATTTTTGGCCATTGAACTTAATTCTTCCACTTAAGCCATGAAAATCACTTCGCAAAAGTTTTGCTAACAATTTCCTTCCCTTGCTGCTTTCTGTCATAGCTTGAGCCACTGCCCTTGCAGCATCATAAGCCTGTGCTGCAAAGATTCCAGGCTCATTGTTACCATCTTCAGGATATTCCGTACTAAACCTTTTTCGAAACCTATGATCAAAATCCTTAAATTGGTTCCCACTTTCGGGGAAGTAGCTCTTGACTCCGATGATCCCTTGCATTGAGGAGCTGGTGGAGGCATTAAAAGAGTGAACAAGGCTTGTAATAGGATCAGTGGTGATCCATACATAATCCTTTTCCATCATCTTCATTTCTTTTGCCTTTTCGAATAGTTGCACTGCCAATGGCGCAGACAAATGCACAACAAAGACTCTACATTGGTCATTTTGAATCTTCTCAAGCTCTGTGATTAATGAAGAAGAAGCAAAGGGAGGGAGAGCTACCAGGTGGCTAATTTCTGCACCAACTTGTCTCAAGGCATCGGAGAGGTGAGGTAAGACTTCATTGGCTGAAGAATCTCTATCTCCGTAAATTACAGTGACTTGATGCCATTCCCAAGACTGAACTATATCGGCAATTGCTTCCATTTGTTTCAACCGGTTATGAGAAGCTTGAACCAGAAAGGGCCACAGCTCAGCTGCCCACATTGGATTAGCCTCAGCAAATGAAACAATTGGGGTATGAGTCTCACTGCCAACCTCAGCTACTAATGACGTCTCTTCCCATGTATGAGGTCCTAGAATGGCTTGCACTTTTTGCTCGTCTATAAGACCTTTAGCTGCAGATTGATAAAATGGCACATCTTTCAACAGTCAATTACTTACCTTACTATTGAGTTTTTTCAAGCTAAATTTAAAAGCAAAGAAGAGAGAAAAATGAATGCATAGATGCATGATACATCGATCCCTATATGTACTAAATTTCCTAGTTTGAAGAATACACAATTATATAGCTTTTGATATATGCCTCATATTTCTATGATAAGATAGCAACATAGGGATGTGAAGAAAATTGCTAAGGTTATTCCAATCCTAAAGCTACCTGCTGATAGGATAAGTGGTTCAATTCCTTATATGCCTTTGTAAGGTTTTTAAATTTTTCGACCTACGTGGGACATCTCTTGAGAATGTGAAGAATTGTTGCACATCATGGTTTAGATAATTAATTAAGTTATGTACATGTAATGAAAGGATCATGTGAAGAATTATTTAAGATTTAGAGTTAAGGCCACAAGTAAACCAATTTTCAACTTTTTGAGAAGTAAACTTGCCATTTTGTTTTGCGTAATTTTTCAATCATTTGGTATAAACTTAATTTAACCATATAAAGCATTGAAGGTCTTGTAACTCAAGTGGTTAAGAGAATTTATCCTATGCCACTTAGTACGTACTACGATGAAGTGGTATTTGAACCACATTATTGCTAACTCATTGTAAGGCTAAGTCCACCCATCTCCTTTAATGTAGATAACATCGTTTGTTTAAAAAAAAAAAAAGAACTTACCCTGCATATGATGTCTTCAGTCCGATTCTCCCCTCCCCGTAATATTTGCCGTTATAAAAAATAAAAAAAGGGACACCCCGACACTTGGGCTTCGGAGTTTCAGTGCAACCTAGATATTGCCTTTATAAAAAATAAAAACAAGGAAGGTTAGAAAGCTTAATTACCTGCAAGAGCTGCCTGCAAGGGCTTCCTCTGAGAGTTTCTTACGTGCAGAACCAGTCTCTGATTCCCAGTGGAATCAAAATGATCATCCAGTGCCATTTGAATTGCCACTCTCTCTTCTTTGCCAATCCGAGAACTGTTGTCGATAATAGCACCTAGTATTCCCATCCCGGATTCATTCTCGATTGTATTGGCAATTCCAAATGTTGTAATTCCTTCGCTAAAACCTGAAACTGTGATCAGAAAATAAAAAAGAAGAGCAAACTGAGACATTTTATTTTGTTTTTGTTTTGAAGAACGACTTCAGAGCTCTCTTCCTATTTATATGGAAAAGATTCAAGAATGCTGCCATACTTTTTACTCGGTCAACAATAAAAGATTTCCTCCTTTTTCTTGAGTCATAAGTCGGCACTAAGAATTAATCAATACTTCGGTCTTTTTTCCTTGCAGGAACATATATACATAATATTTGTGAAGTATGGTGCGTGGAATTAATTCAACTCCATCTTGGTTAAAATTACATCTTGTACGCGGCTTAAAAGTTCTAAATTTGTTCTTTTTATATCTTTGTTAATTAGACTTCCAATATCCGATATGAATCATTAAATTACTCATACACACACACGTAGTGTAAATGTTTTCATGTCAGATTGTCTTGCAATAGAACTAGAATTCTTCACATTGATTAGGTTGAGTTTTTGTCGACATGAGTGATCAAGCAATATAATTAAATTTGTCAAAAACAAAAAAAAAAAAAAACAAATATTGTGGTTCACAAATTTAAAAAAAAAAAAAAATATATATATATATATATAATAGGGCTTTTAGGAATCATATCAACTTTAGTTTCTTTTGGATTCGAGTTTCTCATATATATCGTCACGGTAATTACATGGCTGATTGTTTAGCCAACTTTAGTGTAGATAATGTTAGGATTTATTGGTGGTCGGATTCTTATCCTTTGTATGCAGCTGCAACTTTTGTTCATAATCTTTTGGGGCTTACGAACTTCCGCTTCTCTTAAGAGTTATTTTAATGGTTTTCTTATTATCTTGAGTTTCCTTGTCGGTTTGAGCCTTGGTCATTTTTTCTAGCTCTACCATTTTCATTTTTTGTTGTTTCTATTTGCTTTTTGATACTGTGTTAGGGCTGGGTTTCTTGGCCCTCTAACTTATTGTACTTTTAATTTTTGTTTTATCAATATATTCTCAACAATGTCTTTTCCATGATACCAATACTAAAGTGAATTTGACATTGTTGTTTAATTGAAAAAATATTATCAAAGCGACCCTTGTAAATCTATACTTCCTTGCGTAGTTTACATTCATGTGCAAGAGAAACCTAAAAGAAACAGACTAGTAAATTAATTGATGCTCTAATAATATCTATTTAACATTATTAATTAGAATTGGTGAAGTGAAAGTCACCATTTGAATTTCCTGGTAATAACCCCCTTGTTAGGTTACATTATTCATACACCTGTCCAAAAGACAATAAGTTTTGCTTTGAATTTTCATCATTTGGATTCCTTCATCAAGTAATGAGTGGTCAGATTCTTCACTAGCTGACTTTTTAGTTTTACTGAAATTCATTTGAGTACGTTCGACTGCTTTATACGAACACATTCTATATTGACTGCACATATTTTCAATTAGGAAAGAGCTAGTAAAATCATATTTTGTAAATTATATGTGATGATTGATGGTTGGTGTAAGATCCCACATCGTTCAGGAGAGTGATCTTTATATGTATATTCTCATCCCTACCTAGTACGAGGCCTTTTGGGAGCTTACTGGCTTCGGGTTCCGTAGGAAGCGAGTAGCGCACGAGAGCATTCCCAGGATGGGTGACCCATCGGGAAGTTCTCGTGTGAGTTCCCAAAAACAAAACCATGAGGGCGTGGTCGGGGTCCAAAGCGGATAATATCGTGCTACGGTGGAGTTGGGCCCGGGAAGGGGTCTCGCCCGAGCCGGGATGTGACAATTTGGTATCAGAGCCAATCCCTGGCCGGATGTGTGCCGACAAGGATGTCAGGCCCCTGGGGGGGTGGATTGTAAGATCCCACATCGCCCAGGGGAGTGATCCTTAAATGTATATTCTCATCCCTACCTAGCACGAGGCTTTTTGGGAGCTCACTGGTTTCGGGTTCCATAGGAACTCTGAAGTTAAGCGAGTAGCGTGCGAGAGCATTCCCAAGATGGGTGACACATCAGGAAGTTCTCGTGTGAGTTCCCAAAAACAAAACCGTGAGGGTGTGGTCAGGGCCCAAAGCGGACAATATCGTGCTACGGTGGAGTCGGGCCCAGGAAAGGGTCCCACCAGGGCCAGGATGTGACGGTTGGATTTTTTTTTTTAACGATTCAGAGAAAGAATCAAACCTTGAACCTCTACATCAAGTGATTTACAAAATATGATCTAAAAAGATAGTCTCTCAAACATTAACCTTTTAATAATTTATTTGTTAGACTGTTAATTTGATTGGCATTGTTTCCTGAATTTATTTATTTATTTTACAAGAATTTATTTATTTATTTTACAAGAACTTATTTGTTGGACAATTACTTTTAGTCAAATTCATATTAATACATATTTTATATATACATACATACATACATACATATATATATATATATATATATATATTCCGAGCCATTAGTTAAATTAGTTTATGAAAATTGTTAGTCTATCACGTGCTGTATACGTGATGAGAGACCGAGTCAGTTCTACAGTATTTAGAGAATCTTCGAATTGAATCGTGAGTTGAGTCATGATGACTCTCTCGTTCTAGATTATTTGCTCAAGCTAATACAATAGAAACTTCCTTCATTTTACTCGTTATTTTCTTTGACAGTTTACTTAAATAATTAAGCTGATCATAAAATGATTGAAGCTCAAGGTTTGTCCTATCATCCTTATGTCCTCACGGAATTGGTAAAGACTTGGAAGAAACACTTGACCCTTGAAACTTAAACAAGAAATTCATAACACACGAAATAAAACAAAAATCAAGAAAACAACAATTGAACTTTTCTCTACAACGATATTCTACTAAAGGGAAAGGGGATTTTCTATTCTAAGGGGAGGGAAAGATTGGACTAGACCACAAAATAAGCTACCTATCTAAGTATCGAACTCAATACAAATATAATACGTCATCATCATTCATGTGAGTCAAGCTTAAGATTTCACATTTATTAGCGAAGAATAAAGAGGAATACCAACTAGTACTACAGTTTAGTTGGTGTTAGGGCCCAAAAATTTCACCTATAATTTCAATAATATCTTAAAACCCATTCATTGCATACATGTCACAAGCCAAGCTTAAATTCATGCATAAAGTGCGAAATAAGGGGTATGTAAGCTGAAAATCATGCTACACTAATAAAATAGTGTTATAAAATGAACATTTGTAATATCACACCAAGCCAATACAAATCATGCATATTTATTGTGCCAAGCAATATAATAATATTAATACGGTGACATCACACCAAGCACACGGCACCCTTAAGTGGGCCCAAGTCATGTAATGGGGCTTACTAAGTAGGTCATGGTGTGGATGGTTATGGAAGTTCAGTGGGCCTACGTGGAGTTAGAATTGTGGAAGATTTTGTGTTGCTTAAGAGCACCAAAAATCCAAGCCCATTATTTTAAGCTCCACATAGGAAGGCTTGAGAGTGAACAACCTTATCCTTCCCTTTTTCCCTTACAAGCCAAGTAAGACACTTATGAAACAATTAAAACTCAAAGCTGAGCTGACTAAATCAAGATGAGATCACTTTTTGGCCTAGAATCGCACGCTTCTTTAATGAGCAAAGAGAAGAACCATTCCATCCAAGCTCACATAGGAAAACGAAAGAGAAAACAGAAGGGAGCGTTGCCAAAGATAGAGTCATGTTGTGGGACTTGGTGTAGGAAGAAGAGGCACTGGGCAGCGTGTTCAACCTATGCTTCATGAGGCTACCAGCCCTATGCAACGTTATTCCAAAGAAGATCCCTATAACTGTAACAATGGAAATGAGAAGAAGAGACTCATCAAAACATGAAGAAGATAAGAAATCAAAGATTCTCCAGCTAGAAATTGGAGACTCAGCACTAAGAATTAATCAATACTTTGGTCTTTTTTCCTTGCATGAACATATATACATAATATTTCTGAAGTATGGTGCGTGGAATTAATTCAACTCCATCTTGGCCAAAATTACATCTTGTACGCAGCTTAAAATTTCTAAATTTGTTCTTTTTATATCTTTGTTAATTAAACTTCCAATATATGATATGAATCATTAAATTATTCATACGCACGCGTAGTGTAAATGTTTTCATGTCAGATTGTCTTGCAACAGAACTAGAATTCTTCACATTGATTAGGTTGAGTTATGTTGAAATGTGTGATCAAACAATATAATGAAATTTATCCAAAAAAAAAAAAATTATTGTGGTTCGCAAATTTTAAAAATATATATAAAATAGAGCTTTTCGGGATCATATCGACTTTAGTTTCTTTTGGATTCGAGTTTCTGATATATATCGTGAAGGTAATTATGTGGCTAATTGTTTAGCCAACTAGATTTATTGGTGGTTGAATTTTTATCCTTTGAATGCAGTTGCAACTTTTGTTCATAATCTTTTGGGGCTTCTGAACTTCTGCTTCTCTTAAGAGTTATTTTAATGTTTTTTCTTATGATCTAATTTTGAGTTTCCTTGTTGGTTTGAGCCTTGGTCATTCTTTCTAGCTCTACCATTTTCATTTTTTGTTGTTTCTATTAGCTTTTTGATACTGTGTTAGGGTTGGGTTTCTTGTCCCTCTAACTTATTGTACTTTTAATTTTTGTTTTATCAATATATTCTCAACAATGTCTTTTCCATGATACCAATACTAAAGTGAATTTGACATTGTTGTTTAATTGAGAAAATATTATCAAATCGACTCTTGTAAATCTATACTTCCTTGCGTAGTTTACATCCATGTGCAAGAGAAACCTAAAAGAAACAGACTAGTAAATTAATTGATGCTCTAATAATATCTATTTAACATTATTAATTAGAATTGGTGAAGTGAAAGTCACCATTTGAATTTCCTGATAATAACCCCCTTGTTAGAGCATCCCCAGTGAGGGACTCTATATGGAGCTGAAAAAGCGGTGGATATAGCCCATTTTAGAGCTCCGAAGAATATTTAAGGTTTTATAAAAGAATATTTCCCAATGAGGGGCTATATATTTCGGGCTCTATATGGGGCTATATATATTTATTTATGTAGTAATTTGATTAAGCGATAATTTTTTTTTTTTTTGGTGTTAGCTTTTCTTACGTTGATTTTTGGACGTGCTGTCTTATTTTTTTTTTTTTTTATGTACCTTTCAACGTAAAAAGTTCAAAATGTGACAATTTAATCACTTATGAATTGTTCATTGGATTATATTCTCTTATCTCAATCTCATCTGTTGAAAGAAACAAACCCCCACTTCGCCCTCTGAAATAATTTGATTTTTCACGTATAACACAACAATAATTAGGTAGTGTTCAAGATTTCTCCACAGCTGCAAGCATCCCTTCTTTCTTTGTATCATTTGTGCTAGTCCCCTTGGCAACCAATGCCAGACAAGCCGCTTCAGCAATTAAGGCAGCTTCAAGAAAAACACCAAGAACCACATCTCTGACATTTTCTGAGGTTTGTCATTGTGCCCAATTTTTTATATTGTCTTTCACAATTATAAACACATCTTTATTTGGATGCAGCTTTATGGTGGGGTGTTTATGAACAATGTTCTAGGATTTTCTGTGCTGCTAGCCATAATTTATGCTCGTGAAATGACTTGGGATTTTTCTGCTGAAGTTTTGGTAGTTCTAATTGTCTGCACTATGATGGGTCTGATTGCAAGCTTCGTCTCCACCTTTTCCCTTTGGACATCATTCTTGGCCTACCTTCTATACCCAATTTCATTGCTTTTAGTCTATGTTCTCAATGATGTTCTCAATTATACTTGAATTAAACCCACCAAGGATGTAATATTTTTGTAAATTAGCAAGAGCATGTCTTTGGAATTAATTGTTACATTTGTTGTTCTTTATAAAGGCCAATGTTTTCCCAATTTTTTGTTAGATTAGCTTTAATGATGCATTAATACTTTTGATAGAAATAAAGTTCTAGAACAAAAGTAGCTAGGATTTTCAAATAATGTGGTCATGTTTCTGACCCAACATAACTTCATTGGACTATTTCATCAAGAACTTGTTGGGCGACTGCTGATTCCTAACAACATTCATCAAAAGCTTATGGCAACGTATATTGACCACTACTATGATATGTGGAGTTTTGTTGAGGGTAGATATAGGAAACTAATGAGTAATGTCAAAGAATGCCAAAGCATGTCAACTGAGGCATTTCATCGAGCACTTGATGCGCACAACTCAAACATTTCATCGAACACTTAGTGCACATGATTGGATTAAATTAAAGTTTTTTTTTTATATGAAAAAAAATATATTTAATTATAACATCATAAGATAGTACAAATCAAACGTGAAAATTAAGAATTAAAGTTACATCTTGAAAAAATACGCTGTTTAAAAACACTATCACGAAGCATAAAAAAATAGAACATAAAAATACAAAGCCCCGCATAGATTACAATTTAGGCCTTTCTAAGATTCTAAAAGACACTAGGTGCTAATCGGGCAGTGGGTTGGGGCCTAGTGTCTGGGCGGCCAAGCGGGGTCTAGGCGAACTAGGCGGATTTAAGTAGATTCATTATATTTCGTGTAAATAAGTGTTGGTTTATACTTAAAATATACATAATTTCATCATAAACTACAAAATAGAATGACATATATATTATGAAGTATTGGAACATAATGAAAACATGGGAACAAGCATATAATGTGTGTTCATTTAAGTATTCAACAAGTCTCTTAAAATTTATTGAAAAAAATAAAATGCAAAATGAAGTTATCTATTTTCTGTCTAAGTGAGTCGCAACTTAGGCTGATGTCTAAGTAGATCTGGGCGGGCTAGACGGTCTAGACAAGCGCCTCAGCAGGTCTAAGCACCATTTCTTAATTTTCAAACGCTTAGGCATTATCAGGGTGGTGGCCAGGCGCCTAGTGCCTAGGCGGCGTTAGGTGGAGATTTTTAGAACGATGAGTCTTTCTTCATTATTTTTTGCATGTCATATGTAAGTTTGTGTAAACTGAAAGGAAAGAAATGGTGATAAGAGTTGGACTTGGGCTCTTCTGCATGTGGTAAATGGACCTTGAGCCCACTTGTTAGTTTCGTTTCTTTAAGCGTAAGGAGCCCAAGCCCAATTCGTACTGTTGAAAGTTAAAAGACTTGTCACTGCTCAGGCACTTCCTCAGACGATCTTCACCTTCACGGCATTCGCAATCACCTCCGGAAGCTCTGCAACTCCACAAACGCCTGCAAATTTACTCCCACTCCAAATCTTCAAACCTTTCAGTGAGTTACTCTTTCATTTCTCGAAATTCTCAAGAAATTTGAATCAATTTACGTCCTTTCGGCTGAAATTGGTTTTAATTTTGTAATTGTAGATATTTCTCTGTATTTTTTGTTTTTTTTTAATGCAAAATTCTGATGCGGAAAGTCTTGATTCTTACTAGGATGGTGTAGGAGAGGTTGCGGTTTACTGTAATTCTTGAAGAAATGCCTCTTTTGAGTGTTTGAGACTCTAATTTTTCTGTTTACTTTTACTAAACCTAGGGTTTCATGTATTATATTATGCATTGTGATGATATTTAGGGTTTAGGGTTTAGGATGAAAAACGAGCTGTGTGGATTTTTTCTTTATTTACTAGGTTCTGGTAACTGATCAATTTTGCAAAAGTAAAGCGAATGAGAGGGGGAAAAATCCAATTCAGGGGCAATACAAAAGAGATTGAGGACTTGAACATACTTGTTTTCGGTAACAAAAAATTGCGTAATTGTGCTTGAATTGGTTGTTTTACAAATTACTTCAACGGGTTTTCTTTTTCCCTTCAAATTACTTCATCTGGTAATGTCCTTGATGACGTTGTTGTACTAAGAGTTGGCCAAAGAAATGTCTACTAGACATATTTAGGTATAGCAATGGAACCTGATAGACATGCTTGTAATGTCTAAAATGTGCGAGTTACATTGTGCTTTTCAGCTCAATGCCCCGCTTGTGCAGTTGATTTTCAAGTGCAGCCGAACCTGTAACCCTGGAGCTGAAGCGGTTTTCCTTGCACTCTGCATTGCATTCTAAAACCAACTGTTGTTTTGATTCATGTATCCCTTGGATTTTCATTTTATTCTAAAACCAACTGTTAGAGTAATATTTATAGTTGGAAGTTTTCACTAGTATGGAAAACAGCATGTTCAAATGTCTTCTTAGGTGACGGCAATATTGTTGAACGTATTAAGAAAACGAAAATGCCTGATGGACACTCCGACATTCTTTTAGCTCTTTCCTGCTTTCCTTCTATTGTTTGTCTATCAGATGATATAAGTTCGCTTGGCTATGATCTTGTGTTAGGAACCGGATTACAGTAAATGTTGGACTAATGAATGCATGTTTCTCTGTGGCCTGGTTTATGCGTGGGATTAATATATTTCGCTCTAGAACTTGGGTAGATGCATTTGTTGATGTTGTATCTGCTGCATGTGATTCGAGGATTGTCTCATGATGAACTGAACTTTCTCAACTTTTGTTATTATGTTATATGTTATATAACATAACCCCATTCGTTATGCCAAAATAACCTGGAGAAGTTTACAAAGTATTGCATGACTGACATACCGATGATGATTTAAATCATTACCTAAGCTCGTTATATTTTTATTTTTGCAATAGCCTGCTGAAGAAGAGGTTGGTCCCTGCATTTGTGATGGTGGAAGTGTGGTGGTCCCTCTTAGCCGCTATCCCTGCAGTAGTTGCAGGACAAGCGTTTCGAGTGAAGAAAAGGCGTGGTGAAGAGCAGAGATTAAAGAGCGCTAGAGGGAGGGAGAAGAGTTCTGATGAGATTTTTGTCTGCGAAAGGGTATGCACGTCGAAAAGAATGCTGAAAAAGGTTGGTGCATTCTCAAAGGACCCTATTCCTGATACTTGCGTTACCGTCTGCGGTGTATCTGAGCTCGATGCGTGTGCTGATGCGTGTGCCCGCACTGTCTGCGTAAACCAACATCAAGTACCGAATTGGAACGACATCTGCCTTAGGAGATGCCAGAGTGAGTGTTTGAAACTCTCTTCTAATCCTCTTTAAATGAGAAACAATGTATTTACAAGGGGAGGTTTTTTTATTTTTTTCTAAATTATTATTATTATTAAATGAGAAACAATGTGTCAATTAGCTAGTTTAACTGAAGATAACATGTCTCTTAGTATTACGATTTAGTGATTTTGATGTTTGCTTATAAGTGAGATATTTTGTTCGATTCTCATCAAATGAAAATTTGAACTACATTATTTACGAACTCATTATGAGATTAAACCAACTCTCTTTTCTTAGTGTAGATAGTATCATTTATCTGAAAAAAATAAAGATAAGCTTATATGATAACGAAAGGTTTTAATGATATTAATCATGAGGTTTGTACTCTAAAATAGTTTTTCAGGTACGTTAGGCAGACGTGTGTTAGGTTTCCATTGAAGTAGGTTCTCTTCCTGCTTTTTATCTCTCTTCTTCTCTCTCCTTCTATTTAAATGATCGCGGTTAAACCACGTCAATATCTTATATTAATTTTTTATAACAAGAGATAGACAAAATAAAAAAATGTGAGAAGAGAGATGGAAAGAGAGAATCCTAATTCGATTCCATTTTGGATTAGGATTCTCTTTTCTTCCATTCTTTTCTTTCACATTTTTTGTTTTGTTTTTCCTTTTTTTTTATAAAAAATAAATATAAGATGTATAAAAAATTAATATAAAATTTTGATGTGATTTATCTGTAAGAATTGAAATAAGAAAGAAGAGAAGGAAAAAAAAAAAAAGCTTACTCCTTCCATTTAAGCAAGCATGAATTGATGGAAATCTAAGACCCACGTAACACAAATCAGGTCGAGTTCCTAAATCTGGTAGTCAATTACTTTGTCAGCAACAAGCCAATCTACTTCTGCATGCAGGCGACGTGGAGGCATTACTCCATCATATCCCTACTAAAAAGCGTTGCAACTGTCGGCAAGTGATCCAATCCGATCCAATCTAAGCAACATGCAAAGGATCTCTCAACTTTATTTTAATCAACAATAACTGCTCTCGTCCTCGATGTCGGGGTTTTAGTTTTTTGACCATTGTGTCCTCGATGATTTTGGCTTTATGAATGATTAAACTTGTTTAATATCGCATTTGCTCCGAGACACGAAACTTTTATCTTAACTTTGGCTCGTTGCGTACCTTGATCCATTAATATTTGAATAGCATTCTCTGCCGCGGTTTGGTAAACAATCCAAGTCAATTTAATTATAATTCAACCGGTGACGATGACAAGTAAAAAGTTCATATTCTTCAATCATTGATAAGCAATTTGTTGATTACAAAAATTATAGAAATTGAAGATTTTGATTAAAACTATTGTAAAAAATAAAATCTTGAGAAATGCTGTCGAACTTTTTAAAGTGGGACCTTTTCTAGACCTTTTTTTCTTTATGTTTTTTGCATAAGATTTTATAATTTTAACATGAAAATTAATTACAAACTGTGAAATAATAAAAAATCTGAAAAATCATACTTTTGAGAGAGTTTTGTTTTTTTCTTCCAGCTGTTTGGGCAATTTCATCTCGTTTAACGATCCGCACTCTTGTCTCCTGTTTTAGGTGACTCTTGGTGGGAGTTGTTTGATAGTTAGGTGGTGACTTCTTTGGTAGATAGGATGGCTTCGATTGGAGTGAGAGAAGGTTACGCCAAAATGACCTGGAGAAGTTTACAAAGTATTGCATGACTGCAATACCGATGATGATTAAATCATTACCTAAGCTCGTTATATTTTTATTTTTGTAATAGCCTGCTGAAGAAGAGGTTGATCCCTGCATTTGTGATGGTGGAAGTGTTGTGGTCCCTATTAGCCGCTATCCCTGCAGTAGTTGCAGGACAAGCGTTTCGAGTGAAGAAAAGGCGTGGCGAAGAGCAGAGATTAAAGAGCGCTAGAGGGAGGGAGAAGAGTTCTGATGAGATTTTTGTCTGCGAAAGGGTATGCACGTCGAAAAGAATGCTGAAAAAGGTTGGTGCATTCTCAAAGGACCCTATTCCTGATACTTGCGTTACCGTCTGCGGTGTATCTGAGCTCGATGCGTGTGCTGATGCGTGTGCCCGCACTGTCTGCGTAAACCAACATCAAGTACCGAATTGGAACGACATCTGCCTTAGGAGATGCCAGAGTGAGTGTTTGAAACTCTCTTCTTCAAATCCTCTTTAAATGAGAAACAATGTATTACAAGGGGAGGTTTTTTTATTTTTTCTAAATAACTATTATTATTAAATGAGAAACAATGTGTCAATTAGCTAGTTTAACTAAAGATAATCTGCCACTTAGTACTGCGATCTAATGATATTGATGTTCGTTTATAAGTGAGATTTTTGGTTCGATTCTTATTAAATGAGAATTTAAATTACATTATTTACTCACTCATTGTGTGGTTAAACCAACTCTCTTTTCTTAGTGTAGATAGTATCATTTATCTGAAAAAAATAAAGATAAGCTTATATGATAACGAAAGGTTTTAATGATATTAATCATGAGGTTTGTACTCTAAAATAGTTTTTCAAGTACATTAGGCAGGCGTGTGTTAGATTCCATTTAGGACTAGGATTCTTTCCTGTATTTTTTTTTTTAATCATTTCTTTTCATATTTTTTATTTTATCTTTTTTTTTTATAAAAAAATTAATATAAAATGTTGACGTGGTTTAATTGTGATCATTCAAATAGGAAGAGAAGGAAAGAAGAGAGAAAAAAGAGGAGAGAGAATTTTACTCCTTCCATTTAAGCAAGCATGAATTTATGGAAATCTAAGACCTACGTAACACAAATCAAGGACTTGAATTGTCTGTTCTTACCATTTTATATCCTCCTTATGTCTTTTTGTAGTCACGGTTAAATTACGTTAATATTTTATATTAATTTTTTTATAAAAATAATAAGATAAAATCAATAAAAATATTAAATATTAATATAGTTTAACTATGATCACATAAATAAAAAAGCATGAGAAGTACGTGAAATAAAAAGACAGACAATCCAAATCTCACAAATCAGATCGAGTTGCTAAATCTGGTAGTCATTACTTTGTCAGCAACAAGCCAATCTACTTCCGCTTGCAGGCGACGTGGAGGCATTACTTGCTCATATCCCTAAGTCCCTACGAAAAAAGCGTTACAACTGTCGGCAAGTGATCCAATCCGATCCAATCTAAAGCAGCATGCGAAGGATCTCTCAACTTTATTTTAATCAACAATAAATGCTTTCGCATGGTATAGCCATTGATATTCGTTGTTCCTCTCCATCTAAAGTTATATTCTTCAATATAATAGTTATACGACGAGTGGATGTTTTTCAAAGATAACTCCGTCCTCCATTTCGGGGTTTTAGTTTTGTAACCGTTGTGTCCTCGTTGGCTTTGGCTTTATTAATAATTAAACTTGTTTAATATCGCATTTATTCCGAGACAAGAAACTTTTATCTTAACTTTGGCTCGTTGCATATCTTAATCTATTATTGTTCGAATAGCATTCTTTGTTGGGGTTTGCTAAACGATCCAAAGTAATTTAATTATAATTCAACTAGTGACGATGGCAAGTAGAAAGTTCATATTCTTCAATCATTGATAAGCAATTTGTTGTACGTACTATGAAAGAAAATTACAGAAATTATAGAAATTGAAGATTTTGATTAAAACTATTGTAAAAAATAAAATCTTGAGAAATCTTTTTAAAGTGGGACTTTTTCTAAACCTTTTGTCCCTCATGTTTTTTTGCACAATATTTTCTAATTTTAGCATGAAAATTGATTTCAAACTATGAAATGATAAAAAATCTATGAAAATTCATATTTTTGAGAGAATTTTTTCCCTTTTCTTCCTGTTGATTGGGCAACAATATCATCTCTTTTAACGATCCGCACTCTTGTCTCCTGTTTTGGTGACTCTTGGTTGGAGTTGTTTGATAGTTAGGTGGTGACTTTTTTGGTGGATAGGATGGCTTCAATTGGAGTGAGAGTCGGTTACAATATCTTATTTGGATTTTAGGTTTTGGTTTGGGATTGGTGAGTTTTTGGTATGGCCAGTCTCTCATCTCACTCGTAAAAGGTAGGCCATTGGGGTTTACTGATTATTCGGTATTGAAAACACAACGTTCTCCTTTAGTTTTTGGCCAAAGATTTGTACCAATTAAATTATAGAAGAAAATTTGTTTCTATTTTTTAAGTAAAATAAAAACTCAAATATGAAATATGGAAAACATTAAGGGGACTCGCCCCAAAAGCAAGTCTCTAACGACTCTTCCTCGACGGGTAATGCTAGTAGATTGAATTTGTACAACTGTTTAAAAAATTTATGAAAAATACAACTGTTGTTATTTATTTTTTTAATTTTTTGAACATACAATATTATATATAATAAAATGGTGGGAACATGAGTTAAATCTCACAATAGATTAACAAAAATGTAATTTAAATTCAGCTTTGACGAAAATCAAATCTAAAACTTTTTTCTTATAAATTAAATAAAGAGGAATACTATTAGATTATAGTACTAAGTAATTTTTAATAGAATCGAAAATTACTCTAGAATCTCAAAAATTAATAGTAATTGCAGGTCCCACTGTTATTTTTAATTAGAATTTTGCTAAGTATATTCGATAAGAACAAGATTCACTTCCAAAGTCAAAGGCTTGGCGGCTTGCCGACTTAATTAATACTGCAGACGCGGGAATCCAGCCTTTGCTTTGTACGTGCTAAAATATCAGTGCCGACCACGTGTCGTTTTCCCTACGAGCAGGCCGGACAACCCGGCGTTTCGAAAATAACCTGAAAAGGGTTTCAATTTCAAATGTCCAAAAGATAAAAGGAGAAATGTAAATAAGAATTTTTCAAAATTGAGATTTTTTATCAATTCTTGGTTATTTTATTCTTTTTGAAAAAATATTTTATAATATTAGTACGAAAATTAACATGATTGTGAGGGATCAAAGAGTTTATAGAGAATCTCACTTTGAAATAGTATTTGTCATTTCTCAAAGATAAATTTTGTTGAAAATGATATTTGAAATTTTTGTGATAGAATTATAAAAATATGCAAGTGGTTTGAAACAAATTGAGGAAAATACTAGTGCAGTTATTAGTAGGCCGACCTGATTGTTTGAAATTTGACAACATATCATAGAGAGTTCATTGATTAAGCACGAACTATGTTTTTACCCTACTTTGCCCAAACTATCAAGTTTGTTATTATTATCAGATTGGTTTGCTTTTTGCACTCGAATGATTGAACGAACTTTGTTGTCCGTATGATCTCACATGATGGAACGTGTTGATAAATACAAAATTCCCAGATAAGAAATTGTTGATAAAATATATGTGTGATCAATAGGGGCATGCTAGCCCAAGTCTTTGCAATCTTATTATATGAGAACTCTAAGGTAATGTTTGGAAATGCCTCTTAAAAGAATTTGCTCAAGTGGAAGAGCTTCTATTAGAAGAACAAATACTTCACGTGCAAGTGGACTATGGAAAAATACTTCACGTGCATTTTTTAGAAAATTTTATAGTGGAATTATTTACATACCAATTTTTACTTCTCACATACTAATTAATTTGTGTCGTTTGATTGTGTTCAATTTATTCGATTCGACGATCAAAAACTCAGAGAGGTGTGAAAAAAAGGTGTGTGGATTGTGATCTAATGATATTCTTCTTCATTTGTCTGTGAGAGATCTTAAGTTCGATTCTTGCGCAAAGACGAATTTGAACTATATTATTGCTGACTCATTGTGAGGCTAAGCTCACCCCCTCCCAGATTGTAGATAATGCGTGTGTGGATAGCATCACCCAATTTTTATTGGCACTCCAAAAAAAGAAGAAAAAAAAATCTAAGCCCCTAAACTTTATGAGCCTATTTGGTGGGCCAGTTGAATAGGTTGATAAATTAAAATGGACTTAAATCCAGTACATTGTTTATTGTGTCAAAATATGATACCTCATACACGAATTACACATCATCTCTTACAAAAGCCTACAATCATTTCCAATTCAATTCTATCCTTTAAAGTCCAAGCTTAGCCAAACGTCCTTTATGGGTTAGGAAAAATTTGATTTGAAGATACTCTTTCAACTTTGTTTACTTTTTTTCGGATAAATTCAACTTTGTTTACTTGATCAAAAAACAAGTCTTAAATAGTAATAAATTTAAGAGAAAATTCTACCAAATAAAATATAATAAATGAGGGAGATGAGACCATTACAACATTTTGATAACAATTTGAGAACATCTTAAAACGGAAAAAAAAAATTCGATATTGCCTCGATCTGGAGATCGAGCATTGTTCGGATGGAATCCTAGTACATCATCGAATTACACGCAGAAGGTGTTGCATCGTTTTAATGAGGATAAAGCAAAGCCTTCGAGTACTCCTATGGTCGTTCGGACTCTAAATGCTAAACGAGATCTCTTCCGTCCCAAGGAGGATGAGGAAGAGATTTTGGAGCCTAAAGTTCCATACCTAAGTGCAATTGGGGCTTTATTGTACTTGGCTCAATGCATTAGACCCGACATCTCCTTTGCTGTTAATCTTTTGGCTAGATACAACAACATGCTTACACGCAAACACTAGAATGTTGTTAAAGACATTTTATGCTACTTCAAGGGTACTACAGATTTGGGCTTGTTCTACATCCACAAATCCTCGAGAGGACACGCCGTCCCCCTTGATTCTTGGGTTGATTCTCGCCTTGTTGGTTACGCAGATGCTGGATATCGTTTGACCCACATAGGGCACATTCTCAAACGGGCTATGTCTTTACATTGGAGACACTGTTATATCGTGCAGGTCTACCAAGCAAACACTAGTTGAGACTTCTTTGAACCATGCTGAGATTCTCGCCTTGCATGAAGCATCGCGTGAGTGATTTTGGTTGAGAGCAGTGGAACATATTCGAAGCATTAGTGGTCTTACTTCTGTCGTTGACCTTCCTACGACGATCTTTGAAGACAATGCAGCGTGTATCGAGCAGTTAAAGAAAGGATACATCACAAGAGACGACACCAAGCACATAGCGCAAAAATTCTTTTACTCTCACCAGCAACAACAACATCAGAACATTGAAGTCAAGCAAATTTGTTCTCAAGACAACTTGGCCCATCTCTTCACGTCATTGCCCAAGTTTACTTTTCAAAACCTTGCCCAAGGAATTAGTATGTGTAAATTATCTGAATTGAATAGGTTGTAGTTTTCTTATTTGGAAGTTATGTCTAACTCAGGGAGAGTATCCTGAAGCATACTCACTTGATCTTAGTACTATTTTTCCTACGATTAGAAGTATTTTCCCATTGGGTTTTTGCTACTTAATGAGGTTTTGATGTGTCACATCCCGGTCCGGGGTCCACCACATTCCGGGCCCGTTCCACCACCGTAGCATGATATTGTCTGCTTTGGGCCCCAACCACATCATCACGGTTTTGTTTATGGGAACTCACACGAGAACCTCCCAGTGGGGCACCCATCATAGGATTGCTCTCGTGTGCTACTCACTTAACTTCGGAGTTTCGATGGAACCGAAGCCAGTGAGCTCCCAAAAGGTCTCGTGCTAGGTAGGGATGAGAATATACATATAAGGATCACTCCCCTGGGCGATGTGGGATCTTACATGATGAGGCACCCATCCTGGGATGATCATATTCCGTTGAGTTCACTGTTTTCGTCTTGTTTGACGTTTGTTTTTATACATTATGCATACTTCTCACTTTTCTCCTTAGTCTATGGGGTTTTCTCCCACCTTGGGTTTTACCATAGCAATGTTTTGTGAGTTTTACTACCAATGTGTACTTTATTATATTAGAGACTCACATTCTCTTATTGTGTCATCGACTTCATCAACTGTTTTACTTTATTTGCTAAAGATCTAATGCGATGATTGTTTGAGTATTTAAACACTCAAGGGGGAGTGTTGCAGTCATATTTAGAATAGGAGTGTGATTGTATAAATCATAGTGGATCTAGGAATATCTCTTATATTCCTATTAGTTGTTAATTATCTATTAAGAGTTGTAATCCTAAAAGGGTAAGGATTCTACTTATCCTACTACTATAATTAAAGACATAATGGGGTGATACAACACACACATCACAATTAAATCTCTCTTCTCTCTTGCTGCTGGCCTCCTTCACTCTATTCCCTTATAATAGTTCAGTCAAATAGGTCTACAATACACGTGTATTTTTTAGAAAATTTTATAGTGGGACTATTTACATACCAATTTTTACTTCTCACACACTAATTAATTTGTGTCATTTGATCGTCTTCAATTCATTCGATTCGACTATAAGAAACTCAAAGAGTGTGTGAGAAGTAAAAAAAGGTGTGTGAAGCTATTTAGTACTACGATCTAGTGATATTTTTCTTCATTTGTAAGTGAGAGGTCTTAGGTTTGATTCTCGCCAAAGACAAATTTGAACTATATTATTGCTGATCCATTATGAGGCTAAGCTTACCCTCTTCCGTAGTGTAGATAAAGCATGTATGGATAGCACCATCCAATTTTTATTGGCATTCTAGAAAAAAAAAAAAAAAACATTTCCAAGCCCCTAAACTTTATGAGCTTGTTTGGTGGGCTAGTTGAATAGGTTGATAAATTAAAATGAACTTGAGTTTAATCCATTGTTTGTTGTGTTAAAATATAAGATGGATATAACTAAACATAATAGGTTATAAATTCATAATAATGGGTTATCTAACCTATCCTCATACACAAATTACACGTCCTCTCTTACAAAAGCCTACAGTCCTTTTCAATTCAATTCTATCCTTAGAAGTCCAAACCTAACCAAACGTGCTCTATGGGTTAGGAAAATTTTGATTTGAAGACGCCCTTTAAACTTTGTTTACTGTTTTTTGATAAATTCAACTTTGTTTACTTGATCAAAAAACAAGTCTTAAATAGTAATAAATTTAAGAGAAAATTCTACCAAATAAATATAATAACTGAGGGAGATGAGATCATAACAGCATTTTGATAACAATTTGAGCACATCTTAAAATGGGGGAAAGTTTTTTTTAATAAAAATAGCTTGAAATTTCTGAGTTTTAATCAAAATGACAAAAATATGTTGTAAGTAAATAGTATAAGCAGCGATTTTTTTATAGTTAAAATATCATTTTCGTTAAAAATAAACAATATGTTTCATTAAAACTCTAAAATAAAAAATCCCAATAAAATAGTAAATTTGGATATTAAATACTCTTAAATCATAATGTGACTTAAATGCAAGAACGGAATTTGAATCGTCTCTCCCGACTCTACCCCACTCCATATCTGATATCCCAGGGCCCCACCCCGAACTGACACACGTTTCAGACACATAACCGTCCGCGCATTCCCTCTCCTTCTTAATCGCTTCCCCAATCGCCACCCGCCACCTCAGATCCAATCCCCTACTGATTGATGTGCAGCTGCTGAAACCACCCGCCTCCCGCCATGTCTAAACCCGCTGACGTGTCATTCTTCCTCCTCCTCCTCCTGGTCCTCTGCGGCCAGGCCCACGGAGGCCGTGTGCTCCTTTCCGACTTCATCCCATCCAAGTCGCCCGATCTTATCTCCGATGGAGTCCACCACCGGTCTCACTCCTTCGCGCCCTACCTCGCTCTCAACAACTCCTTCTCGGCGGCGGACTCCACCTGCGACCAGACCTACGGGTTCTTGCCCTGCACCACCACCGTGATCGGGAACCTATTCCTGATTCTGGTATACGGCTACCTGATGTACTTGGCCGCCACCTACCTCTCCCATGGCAGCGAGCTCCTGCTCGAGATTCTCGGCCCCGGTATCATCGGAGGCTTGTTCCTCCCCATCCTCGGCGCCCTTCCTGACGCCATGCTCATTCTCGGTCAGTCTCTTTATTACTCCTTGTTTGGTTCCCGAGAAAATGAGAGAAAATTAGAGTGTGTTTTAAACTTAAACTCACTCACTCGTATCTTTTCTTTCCCTCCCCCCTCTCACTTCAAATCTATCTCTTCTCTTTTCTTTTCCTTCACTCGTTTCTTACATTCTTTCTTCCTCTTTCCTCATTCTTCCTCTCTTGTGAACCCCTCATTTTATATATGATTTAAAAATTTTGAATCACAAATCAATCATGTTTTTAAGCTTTAAAGAAAATTATTTTCAAAAAATATTTTTAAAAAATATTTTAAGACATGATAAAAATTTTCAAATAGGTAACATTTCTTGTTTTATTTCGGATGAAGTTTTATGCTTTTTAAATTTCGACTTTTTGTGAGTGCCCTTTTTGTTCGTGTTTGCTTTTGAATAATCAACTTTTTTCCGGAAAAAATTTGGAAGATTATACCTTTTCAAAATGTGAATTAGATTAATTAGAATTTTAACTTTTTTCGAATGCATCTTTTCATTTGGATCCAGTAGAAGGTATATATTTTGAGTTCTGACGTAGATTTGATGGAGCTTTAGATTCGTTTAAATGTATATATTTTAAAATGATTGAATGCGATTTTGGTGAAAATATTTTTGAAAATAATCTTTAATAAAAATGTTAGTAAAGTTTGAAAAAATACTTTAAGTGCTTTTTACAAGAAATACCAGTTAGTTATGTGTTTCTTCTAGAAAACATTTTAAATGTTTTTTTAGGATTTACTAACATTAGTCTATAAAACACTTTTAAGTAGTTTTAGAATCCAAAAACATTTTATCTAAAAATACTTTCAATCATTTTAAAAGGCGAACCCATGTAGAATTGACCCCATTGTCTTTGGTTGCTGTGCTTGAATTGAATTGACCCTAATTGTTTACATTTGTGCCTTGTTCTTAGCACCACTGTATCGTATTCAAAAGTATTCATAAATTTTTAAAACATTTTCTGAAACAATTTTCATTAAGGTTCAAAAACTTGTTTAGTACGAGATTTAAATGTTTTTTTAAATTTTAATTATTAAAAAGACAAGAAAAAACACCCTACAACAACTCATTGTTAATATGGAAATTATTACAAAATTCAATTGCTCAGATAGAGAGATCAAAATAGGGGATTGGAGGAGAGGGAGATGAAAGAGAAAGAGCAGAGAGAGATTCGTAGGGGTAGGGGAGGAGAGAGAGAAAGTAATGAGGATAGAGGAAGTGAACTAGCAGAAAAAAAAATAATATCAAGAGTGAGAGGAGAGGAGAGAGAAAGTTGGAGTTTAAAAACTCAAAAAACTCATTTTTAATGTTTTTTTTTAGAAGTAGTCTAATTTTAAGTTAATTTTGAATATTCGGACCCGTTTACGGTTTAGTAATCGTGGTTCAGAAGCAAATTTAAGATGGAAAAACAAATATCTAATACTTCAAAGTTAAATCAAGAAAAGAAAAGAGTCCTGCAATATAAATTGTTCTAAATTAACCCTTTGTATATGTGAAGTTGAAACTTTAATGTTATATGATAGTTTGTTAGCTCAATTTCTTAAGTACTTAAATCTGCACATCAGTGATTGCTACATATGTTCGGTTTTCGGGGATCTGTGCAGTGTTCTACATTAAGGATGCTCTATGTTTACTCCTCCAATTTGGATGATCTACTTAATAATTAACTTTTAATTGCTTCTGATACGTAACGTATTATTTTCAGTATCCGGACTTTCTGGAACTACGGAAACTGCTCAAAGTCAGGTCTCTGTTGGAATGGGCTTGCTAGCTGGTTCTACTGTAATGCTTATTTCAGTAATATGGGGTTCCTGTGTTTTCGTCGGCAAGTGTGACATTGAGGAATCGGTTGCCATAGATAACAGAGATACAAAAGGGTTTAGCATTACTGGTATGTCTATATTCTCTTTGCATGTTTTATTAAGAAATGTAAATTGCTAATTTTCCATGCATTGTTTCCACCTTTCAAATATTTTCTGTTTATTTGCGGTCAGAAAATATTAGCACCTATGGTAAATGGGAAATACATAATGACGATTGATGAAGAATGGGTTAAGATCCTCGTGATGTTAATGCAGGTAGCTATCGGTTTACCAGTTACATTTAGTAAGTGATCAAATTCTAAACTAAGACTGAAAAATGAAATCTTGAGAAAATTTGTATGCCAGAAGACGTGTAATGGGAAGAATGCTTTATTGAACGAGTTGTGTATTTGTTTCCTAGTCTTCCATTCAATGTCTGAAGTTCTGAACAAGAGAGAACAAGTTGTGAATGATTCAAACAATAAAACTGGACTACTTGATCTTCTTGTTCATCTCACAAAACCCAGGTGTATATGGGTGTCACTATACCGAGAATGTGCATTGTTGACTGAATCTTTAAATGATTGTGTTTCTCACTCCAGGAATCAAGAATTTCGAAATGTCTGATTTATTAAGTAGATGTGAACTGAACCAGAACTGTTGGAAATTGCAGGTTCTGGTGTCAGTACTGATATCTGGACAACCTATGCTGCAATGATTATGATTGTATCCGTCATCCCATTTCTTATTGTGCAATTACCGCAGCTCCTTGATTCCACTTCTGCTAGACGCCTTGCAGTTCTGATTTCACTCATTGTCTCTGTCGCGCTTTTGCTTTCCTATTGCCTTTATCAGGTAATTGTAGTTGTCATGCAGCAAGTCAGCAATTACATAATCTGTGTAGTGTAACAAATCTTTTCTTCGTTTTTCTGTTTGCTAAACTTAGTCTTATTTGTAATTTACGTCTAACAAATCTGTCCATTTTCTTTCATGTGTATTTTCATGCAAAGATTTATGCTTTAGTAATCCAACATTGTCAACTTTTAAGAAGAAATAGGAAAAACAGTTGAAGATGACATAACAATTGGTTACTTATTTTGGGAAAGAAGGGTGTTTTGGTTGTTTCATTATTAAAAGGTCCGAGTACTTTTAAGGGCATTAATATTCTGTATGTTCTTTCATACCAAAAGTTTGGATACCCTTTGCGATTCTGTCATGCTAGTTCTGTAGCTAACCATAATCTGTTTAAATTTTCTTTTTCCTGGTATTACGATTTGGATCTTCACACTTATTTTCACTGCTATCGACTTATATTTAATTGTGGGTGCAGGTGTTTCAGCCTTGGATCCAGAGGAGGAAAATTGCTTATGCAAAGCACAAGCATGTTATATCAGGAGTCTTACAACATCTGAAGAAGCATGCATTGGGAAAGCTTCTTAATGATGAGGGTGAACCTGATGAAGAAACTATCAAAACGTTAGTATTTTATTTTAGTATTATTGATGGAGTAGTTAGTCATGTCTGTTCTTTGCGACTCTTGTAATTTGTTCTTAGAGATTATTCTAACGAGTTTTCTGATTGTACGTGTGTCAGGTTGTTTGATACAATTGATGCGGATAAGAATGAGTTTCTTTCAGCTTCCGAATTAAAAGCACTAATTGTAGGAATCCGGTTTGATGAAATACAGTTTGATAACAATGATGCTGTAGCTAAACTGATGAGTGATTTTGACACTTCTCATGATTCCCAAATCAGTTTTACTGAGTTCTATGCTGGTATCTCAAAATGGCTCAATGAGGCAAAGCGTCATGGAGATACCAGTACTGACTCTGGTAATCATACAATGAAGTTTTTAACAGACTTTCACAAGGTAATGTTTGTTTATTTAGATAGATTTAAGGTTTGCTTATTTGATATGACTTTTCTATGCTAATCTTTTAATGCTTTGTCGAGTACAGCAAACAAAAGAAGAGCACGCTCTTTTGGGGGCGAATGGCCAAAGTGATGAGGTTGTCGAGGGTGTTGAGAGTGTTAAGTGGACCTCCATCAAAGCAGGATTAATGTTGTTGGTAGGAACTCTGATTGCAGCTGCATTTGCAGATCCCTTGGTAGATGCTGTTGATGATTTCTCCGATGCCACAAGCATTCCAACTTTCTTCATCTCATTCATTGCACTACCTCTGGCTACTAATTCTAGTGAGGCTGTATCTGCTATTATCTTTGCCAGCCGCAAAAAGATGAGGACTGCCTCGTTAACATTTTCTGAGGTTTGTATTTCATATTTCCCGTTCATGTTTTGTCAATCTGCAAGCCTGATAATCCTTTACACCTTCAACAGTTGTATAATTTATCAGCGGGAGCTTTTAAAATATGTCATAAACTTTCAAGTTTTAGGCTTTCCCATTGACATATTGCACTCACATGCCAAAATCTTTTCTACAGTGTCCATCTGAAATCCTATTGATATACTAGTAACCAGTATCTCAACAATAATTAGCGTAATTGCGACTTATAGTTAGCCAATAATCTTCTTCTGTTGGTTTAACTATGTCGATTGTTGAAATATGACCTCTTCATCCGTTTCTTGTTGCAGTTGTACGGTGCAGTAACCATGAATAACCTGCTCTGCCTAGCAGTATTTTTGGCTCTGGTTTACATTAGAGGATTAACGTGGGATTTCTCAGCCGAAGTCCTGGTGATTCTCATCGTTTGCATTGTAATGGGTCTTCTAGGCAGTTTCCGCACTGTCTTCCCTCTTTGGACGTCTTCAATTGCTTTCCTACTTTACCCATTCTCCCTGGCACTGGTTTACGTCCTTGACTATGTTGTTGGCTGGTCATAGACGCATGAGGTCATACGAATTCATTTGAGTACTCTTACTCGTGTATGAATTGAAATGTTTTCCCGTTTTCAATTTTCTTATGGTTTGTATGATTTCTGATAATGTTCTAGTGAGTACGCCTGTTACTTTTTCATTAGAAACTTGGGATTTGTTCAGGCACTTGTATTTTGAGCCAATTTTCTGTGTGTAAGCAAAACCCTAATATATTATTGCAGTTTTAGCATCTAGATTTATATCTTCTGAAATTTGTTATTGTGATTGACCTAAACATTTTTCTTAGATTACGGTTAGCGGTTTTATAGCTCCCAGTTTATCTTCGGACACTAAAATACTCAAGCTGAAGTGTCGGACGCTAAACTAGAAGTGCCGGCTAGTTGAGGAGAAATTTTTAGTTGTGATGAGAACATGGATGATACACCACGTGTTTTTATGTAAGTGATGGAAAATTTTAATTTTTGAGTTATTAACCTTTTAACACACATAACGCACTATTTATATAGAAACATGTGATGTACCACCTCGTGTGACGGTCACACTGAAAAATCTCTCTTATTTGAGGATCAATTACAAGTTAGGAATGTCATACGCCGACAATTTCTTTGGAAAAAGCGGGCACAAATTTTGTTGACATCTGAAGAGCCAAAAGATGTAAACGCCCACTTGAAAAAAACCATGTCTAACACTACTTCACTGTCTCATCCTGTTTCTAATCCTCTGCGGAGCCCGCAACATCTCCGGTCCTCAAACCTTACCGCACGATGGGGTGCACCACCGGTCCAACAGCTCGACGGTGGCGTACCTCACTCTCAGCTGGCTCATCTTGGCGGCGGCAGAGGCGGAGTCATCGTGTGAGGAGACTTACGGGTTCTTACCGTGCACCCACAGCGTGCTAGGGAACCTGTTCCTGATTTTGGTGTACGGGTGCTTGATGTACTTGGCAGCAACGTACCTGCCGAATGGAAGCGAGCTCTTGCTCCTGATTCTCGGTGAATATCTCTGATTTCTCTCTCATGCATTCTCTGTTTGGTTTTGGGCGGGAAAGTCCGGTAAAAACAAGTGAGAGAAAAGCCGAGGATAACATTTAACGGTGAAGAAGCATGAAAATTGGTACTATGATTTAATTTGGGAAACAGATCCGTCTGTCTCTATGTCTGTCTCTATCTTTTCTGTCTTTTTTATTAAATTATGGCAACGGCAGGGTAGCTAACGAAGGATGAGAATCCCATCCGGATTCAAATAGTAGGAATTCTATAGATCTTTACATTCTAATCATTTATTGTATATCGTGTGATCAGAAATTATTTGAATTTTGATTATTTAAAATTAAACCCAAATAGTATCTGACGAAAACTGACCATATAATATACTATGAACGACTAGAATGTAAAAATCTCTATGATCCTTACCATTTGGATCCGGATGTGATCCTCGTCCACTAAGGAAATATTGGCACAAAATTGAGTGGCGTTTTATTATTTATATAATTGATTTATTTTAGTAAGATAAGATTTTATTTTGTTGTTGTATGGCAACAGTAGGGTGATTTCCAAACAGATCCCATAAGAAATAATATTTTTTTTTAATTATTTAAAACATTTTGAAACTAAGCTTATCTTTCAGGTTGAAAATTTTGGATTTTCGGTTGCCTTCTTTTTTTTTTTTTTTTTTGAAATTTTCAGATCATCATCATAATTTGAAATTTCTAAGTTTCGAATATTTGTACATCAATCCTTGTGCTTATATATGCAATTCAATAATATTTGGTAAATATTTTAGGTACAATTATTATACATTTTGTAGCATATCAGTGTGTGTGTGTGTATATATATATATTTATTATACATTTTGTTGCATATCAGTGTGTGTGTGTGTATATATATATTTATTATACATTTTGTTGCATATCAGTGTGTGTGTGTGTATATATATATTAGACAAAACAAAATGGTATGTATGTTTATAATCAATCTCACACTCAAGATAAATAAAAATAATAATCAATCACACTCTCATTTTCAATAAACGAATATAAAAATAATTAACAAAAGATATCCAAATTAACGAAGAACATGGCAAAATATAAAAAACGTTTACATGATACACACAATTAGTAAATATGTCCACTGTAAACAGAAGGCTTTAGCTTAATCCTCACATTGATCTGGAGTTCCTGCGTTGTCGTTGGCAAGTGCAATATTCGGAACTCGGTTATCACTGATAACAAAGACACAAAAGGCTTTAGCTTAACTGGTATATATGTCCACCGTAAACTGTATACAGTTTACGTATTTTCCGTCCTATGCTGTCTACATTTGTCAAACATGACACGAAGTTCTTACAGTAAAGTTTCCACATTTACTACTGGGATTCAGAAATAGATAACATATAGTAAGGAGAGGATGTTAATCTATTTGGTGTCTATCGTACGATCCACAGTTTATTTTGATATTTGTACATCAAAAGACATGAAGAGGAAAGGATGCTCAATGTTTGAAAAAGTTTCGTGTATTTTTCTCCTCGGAGCTCATTTTTATTTTTTATTCAATACCGTCGTTCATAAGATTTTCACTTGGTTTTCACTCGGACCTCGTCTAGCAGAATGGAGTTACTTGACCAAATGGTTGTTCGCTGTTCAGAGACCCTATAAGTTTTGAAAAAAACTAACAAGAGAGAACAAATTATGATTCAAACAAACAAACTGGAATAACATGATCTCCAATTGTTCGTGAGTTAAATTGAATAAAACTCCCGTTTTTACCATCTTTGTTTCAACCCTTGACCTTTCTACCTAGTAGTTTATTTGTGCATGAGTTTATTAATAGATCAAAATTCTTAATAGCTTTTGTGAACTGGGAATGGGAAAATTGTTGGTATACCATGGGTCCAATTCATGATGAAGGACATTAAAGGTCCAACCCATTATAAAGGATGGATGCTAGAAAATTCTAGCATGCAAAATAGGATGGCTAGTCTAGAATTATCTAAGTTAGAGGTTTGTAGAATATATTAGAAACTAGTTCTAGTTTGTAGAAAGAACTAGAAATTAGTAGAATGCCAAGCCCTCACCTATAAATATGGGTGTGATGTTGTAGTGACGTAACCAATCAAGAAAGAAGTGAGTAGAAAAGGATCAAGTCCAAAGCTAGAGTTTCACTCCAAGAGTGAGAGTGAGAGTGTTTCACTACACATTGTGTGAGTGAAGTTTAGAGTGATAGAAAGTGTGTGTTATACTTTCTTGTACCCATCAAGTCTTGTCTTTGGCTTGGTAAGACTACTCTTGTTGTACTCATTATTTTCATATAGTGAAGATTGATCGTTGTTCCGTGGACGTAAGCATAAATTGTCAAACCACATAAATTCTTGGTGTCCATTTTCTACTTTACTTTGCGCATTCTCTATCTTGTATTACCGACATTCCTAACAAAAATAATTGTGTTTCTCACTTCAGTATAATGATAAATTTGGAGTTGTTTTGTAATTGCAGGTTGTTAGAATCTCATAGACTGATCTCTGTGGTAAGGAATGAATTGAAAAATGGTGATGAAGATTTCTGAAAATAAATCTTAGAGAGTTGTAGAGAGAAGGTTCTCACAGAAAGTTGCTTTCATTCATTCAGAGCTCACACAAAAAGCGCGAGAGGTATATTACCTTTAGAGAGAGAGATTCTCTCTCTATGATACAAAACTCAAATCCAACCATTCATGCAATCAACCCTATAAGATAGTTACATGTATCAACACAAGTCACTAACTTTAAGATTACATCTTAGCTGTCCAATTGGAATGTAATCCAATGGCTCACATTTAAACTTGTAAACTGAAACTAAATACAAGTTTATTCAGCTAAAACACTTATATTTCAACACTCCCTTCGAAGTCTTTAGCTGAGATTACTCCAAGCTTTCTTCTTAGGTATTCAAACCGGTCCCTGGTCAATGCCATGGTAAAAATATCTACAGTTTGCTCTTTAATTTTGCAGTATAATAAATTGATTTCTCCATCTTGCAAAGCATCTTGGATGAAATGAAATCTCTTGTTTATATGCCTTGTCTTATGCTGGTGCACATGATTCTTGGTTATGGCTATAGCTGAGGTATTATCGCATAGAATTGGTGTAGCATCAACCTGTTTTTCACCAAAATCTAAGAAAACAAATCTTAGCCAGATTGCTTGTGTAGTGGCTTCTATTGCACTAACATATTTAGCCTCTGCAGTGGATAATGCAACATTGCTTTGCTTGACTGATGCCCAAGAAAATACACCTGATCCAAGGTTAAATGCATTTCCAGACGTGCTTTTCATGTCATCATCACTCCCTGACCAATCACTATCACAGTAGCCAATGAGCATTGCTTCTTTCCCTTTATCATATGCTATACCATAATCAAGTGTGCCTTGAATGTACCTAAGTACTCTCTTGGCAGTTCCCATATGTTTTATGGTAGGACCATGCATAAATCTAGCTAACAAACTTGCTGCAAACATGATGTCCGGCTTTGTAGCAGTCAAATATAGCAGACTTCCAACTATTTGCCTATATAAGCTTTCATCAACTTGTTCACTTCCATCTGTCTTAGATAGCTTTTCATTTACTGCAAGAGGAGCAGCAACTGATTTGCAATCTTTGAGGTCGAATTTATCCAGTAATGTCTTTGCAGATTTCTTCTGGTGCAAGAAAATGCAAGTGTCAGTTTGTATCACACTTAAACACAAGAAATGATGTAACAACCTAAGATCCGTCATTTCATACCGTCTCATCATCTTAGTTTTGAACTTCATCATCAATCTTGTGAACTCTCAGTGTAGATGATATCATCCACATATAGTGAAACAATGAGTATTCCACTTATAGCAATCTTCACATATAATGTTGCTTCACTGAGACTTTTTTGAAAACCAGCCTTAGTGAAATAAGAGTTGATTTCTTTATACCAAGCTCTTGGAGCTTGCTTAAGACCATATAATGCCTTCTTGAGTCTATAAACTCCATCTTCCTTGTTCTAATTAGTACCATATTCAGGCCGAGTGGTGATTGGCGTTGGCTGGAAAAATGGCCTGACGGCCACAACTTTTGTTGCCAAAAAACTGGGGAATTTCTTCCTCCGTGTCATTTATGCATCCAAACCCTACAAAACAAGTTTAAAACCTTAAGATCCTTCACATACAATGAAAAGGTAAAAAAGCGGAGTTCCCGAGGCCTGCCCTTGATCGGAAAAGTCGAAGCCTCGCCGGAGTTCTTCCTTCTTGATAGAGCTCAAGGGTTTGAGGGTTTCCTGTTCATGTTTTTGGTTTCTGAGTTACAAGGGTAGTAACGCTCGTTAAGTTCATCGTCTAGTGGTATGGCTCGTCGGCGTGGGCAAGTGATGATGGATTGTTGTGTGGCCATTTGACCTCTCTACGTGTGCAGAGGTAGGAAATAGTTTGCGAGGTAGAGTTTAAGAGAGAAGGGTGAAAAAGTGAAATGAGGGAGAGATGAGTAAGGTGGCAGCAAGGGAGAGGGGGCTCGAGAAATTGAGAGACACGAGAGAGACAAAAGGGAGAGATGGAGTGGCATGTGGGCCAAACTTGGCACATAGCCCAAAGCCATAAAAGATAAAAAGAAAATTGGAAAATATCTCATGCGATGTGAAATTACTAAATTACCCTCAATGTTCTGTGCTTCGTAAAATCTTCATTATAACTCTAAAATCGATTCTGTTTACACCCACGAATTCGTATCGTCGAGTACTACGATGATATGTGTGTGTCTTTGGGTAAAGCCCAAATAATAATTAATTAGGTACGAAACCTAATTAATAAGATACTAACGTAAACGGGCCTACTTGCCCACTTGCTTAATGAACCCAACGAATAAGCCATCGGTATTACAGTCTGCAGCCTGCAATACTAACAACTTATTGTTGTCTTGATAAACAAAGAAATGGATTCCCGAGAATGCAAAATTACCATTCTGCCCCTCATTAGGAAACGTGAATAAATTGTTTAATTTATGCCTCATTGCGCTCACGTGTTTGTAAAGACACGTACAACCTAGAAAGATGTCTAAAGTGATAAAAAGTGATAAGGACTTGAATGTCTACATAGGATTTCCACCCGTCAGGACATTTTCATAATTTCCTAATGCTAAAGAATAAAATAATATTAAATTTAAGACAGGGTGCCACAACTTCTATCCTATTAAATGTTTCTCCCCTAGTAACGTGTTTGAGATGCCCACACATACAGGTGACCAAGTCAGAGCCACATATTCGATATTCCTACAATGCAAAACAGGAAAAAGGACGACGATATAACGTCCAGATCTTTTGCTAGACCTAGATGTCTGAGAAATAGGAAGTTAAATCCCACCGTTGATGGTGATCCAAAGGCTAATATGAGAAGAAAATAATCAACGACAGGACATGGGGACACATGTCTTTAGTAACCAACAAAAACCTAAAATTTGTTTTTGTTACTGTGGGTGATTTGTGATTTGTGATTGTGATGAAACCTAAAAGCACAATCATTTTTTTTTCCACAATTTATATCAAGTTTAACAATGAGTGACCATACAATTTTCGGTCACCAAGTATTCAGGAGAATATATTTTGTTTTGGTCATCCAAATTTTGTGACACTAGTTCCATAGAGTACTCAATGTCGAAGCTGTAGCACAACCAAAGCATGCACATGGAAGTTGTCTACATCTCAAAATACAAACTTGCATCAACTTTATATAGACAAGAAAATACCGTTGCAAATTTTGGAGAGAAAAAGATGAGGAGCAAAAATATCTGCAAAAGTGTATATCAATCCCGTTTTCAGTCAGTACCGGCATAAGGAGGACTTGTATTTGTACCATTAGCGTCACAATCATGTCTATTTTATAGGATGACGAATTTCTTTTAGGTACTTAGTCCTTTCGTCTCAAACACGGTACAAAAGAGAAGTAGGTTTACAAGTTACAAATTAGAGCTACATATTAGTAAACACAAATACAAAATGGGAAAGGGGATGCGGATGATTTCCTATTCCTCGAAATTAAGTTCGGAATAGACCTGGCATTCGTGTCGGATTTTCCGTATTCGTGTCGTTTTCGTAACTTACCCAATACCTTAACGGGTCGTGTCGTGTAACATCCCTTAAAGTAAACGGGTAATATGATCCAACCCGAAATCAACCTATTAATATTATTAGGTAATATGACCCGACACGTTACCCGTTAATGGAAATATATTATAAATCAATAAATAATGAATATGAAAAACATAATTTGACCAAAAAAAAAAAAAAACACAATACTAAATTAGTATATGCATACTTTGAAATTAGTATATGCATACCTCATTGTCACATAAATATTACCTTTTTTTTTTTGTCGAAACATAAATATTACTTCAAAATATAAAAAAAAAAACATTTGTCTTTCAAGTATTACATACTCCAAAATAAGAGCCTAATGAAAAAACAGTAGTACATTACTACAAAATACCAAATGTTTAAAGATATGCAAAATGAAAAGAGTTGTGTTTGAAGGTTGAGGAACTTTGCATGTTTTTATATGCTTTCATATTTTTCAGACTTGTACATTAATGATTATGAATTTTATTTATTTTGAACTCCCTTAAAAAAACTATTCGTGATGGTTTGTATGGTTTTGAAAATTCAAACAATGATGTACCCATACTCAAAGTGTTAATGATGCGATCATGAGCGTTTACATTTTTTTTTTCATATTTTTCGTATTTGTAAATTAATTATTATAATTTTTTAATATGTTTGGTCTTTTTAAATTACTTTATATTTTTATGTTTAATGTGTGTTATTAATTTTTAATCTCACTCTTGACCTATAGTATACCACAAAAATAAATAAATAAATAAAACTTAAAATTTTAAATTTATATAGAATAGTAATATAATAATACATATTTAATATACAATATATACATATACACTGTGACTATTTTATTTTATAGTAAGTTTTTTAGTAGTTTAAAAAATTAAAATCATCAAAATAACATTTTTCTTAACGGGTTGTCTGCGTGTTACTTTCGTCTAAACTTGTTAAGGATATATTATTAATGGCTTCTTATCGTGTGATTCGATAACGACTCGATTAATTATCGTGTTGATCTAAAATTCATTATTTTTGTTTTGTTTACTTGTCGTGTTAACGGGTCATATAAGAAATTGTTAGGTCTAGTTGGGAACCATCTTCTAATGAGAGCTCACCGTTCATCCTCTTAATCTTATTAAACTAAAAAGCGAGGTGAGAGAGCTCACCGTTCATCCTCTTAATCTTATTAAAATAAAGAGCGAAAGACAGACGAGGGGGACATAAACCAAACCTCGTTAAGTAAAAAACAGAGCAAGTGATACGGCAGGAGAACCTAACATCAGCCATACTTACTAGAGAGAAAACATAAAGTTAAAAAACAAATTCATCTAAGCAGCATCCAATACTTGAAAGCTTATGCAGATGCCGAAACCACGCAATTGGACTGAAGAAGATGACTGGAGCTACATATGAAAATAAACAAGCACCGGTAAGTTAGAAGAAGACAATTGATCATAAAAACCAAATTAATTGTGATGAATCGATGAGAGAGAGAGAGAGAGAGAGAGAGAGAAAGTACATACCACACATTACAGCTTATCTATCAAGCATCCGTTAATTTCCGCTTGATCAACATTACCGTCACATAATTCAAGAACTTGAAGTATGTGTACCTCCATTCCCTGATGAATATCAGACTTCCACAAACTCCCCAGAACCCAACAAAAAATCCGAGCCCCATGCTGATGTAAAATCCGTAGCGTATAAGCTGATCATCCTTATCTTCTTCGTTGCTGACTTGATCTGGAACTATTTCTTCACTATCACACAGATTTTGAAGTGGAGGTCCACAGAGCTGATTTCCAGCATAAACAGAGGGATCAAAACTTTGGAGCTGGGTGCCAGTTGGAATCTTTCCAATCAAGTTGTTGTGTATCAGGTCCAAGACACCAAGACGATATATCCGAGAAAGGCTTGTTGGAATTCTTCCATCTATATGATTTCTTGACAAATCAAGTGAATCCAGCGACTCCAATTTTCCAATGTCTGGAGTAATTTGACCTGTTAATTGGTTTCTAGAAAGGTTTAAAGAAACCAAACCAACGAGATGACTGATTTCGCTCGGAATCTCCCCAGTCAATCTATTGCTTGAGAAATCAATGCTTCTCACAAGCCCCAAAGTATTCCTGAAAACCCGCATGCTTCCTTTCCATCTGAAGATTGCATCATCATCATAATCAGTCCCCTCGGATGAATGTTGATCAGTATTTCTCATATAAGAATGTTCGACGGTTAGATTTTCATTTCCTTTCTGAGCCAGTGTAGTAAAATTTTTTAGGCAATTCGGTATGCCTCCAGAGATGCTGTTCACAGAGATGTCCAGAATTTGAATATGTATTAGATCACACAGTTGCGAGGGCAAGCTTTCATTGAAGTGGTTAGAGGAAAGCATTAGGATAACCAATTTCTGAAGGCTAGCCCCCAACCATTTGGGTATTGATCCCGACAATTGGTTATCTGCAAGATCAAGAACCATTAAACTTGTGCAATTCTTCAAGGATAAAGGCAACTCTCCCACAAACTCATTGCTTCTTAATTTCAACGTTTCGATCCCAAATAAGGAGCCTATTGTCATAGGAATTTTTCCAGAAAGAGCATTGTAACTCAAATCAAGCATGACTAGATTGTCCAAATGTGTCAAGCATTCTGGAAGTTCTCCAGAGAGATTGTTGTTTGAGATGTTAAGAAAAGTTAAGCCCGTAGATGCACTTGCACACAAGAAAGAAATTGACCCTGAAAAGTTATTATTAGAGAGATCCAAATATGACGCCTGTGACAGAGTTGCGGGAATTGGACCTTCAATTCCATTCGACCTCAAATGCACTTCAGGGTAATTTGCAAAATCCACTGTCAAAGTTTTTAACATTTCTCCAATTTGGTTATGGGAAAAACTGATAAATGTCACGTTATGAGTCGTACCCCAAAACCAACTTGGAAGGATATCCACAATTCCAGCATTAGAAATATTGAGGTATGAGTACCCATTCTGAGATTGAAGCCACTTCGGAAAATACGGACCCATCTTGCATGACCCCAAACTTATATAGTCCAGTTGAAAAGGAGGAGTCCAATTAGAATGGAAGTTTAAAACTAGTGAGTTAGATGATAAATCTAAACGCCTTAATTTGGAGAGGAGAGAGAAATGGGAATCTACAATCTCCCCTTCCAAAGCATTCATACCAAGGTCAATTAACTCGAGCTTTGACATTTGCCCGATACTTTCTGGTATTCTTCCACTTAATTGATTGTAAGGAATATACAACTCTTTCAATGATAAAAAGTTGGTAAGATTAGGTAATGACCCTGCAAGTTGATTTTCTGAGAGCCACAAACGCTCCAAGGAGTTTTGAGCACATGTAGGCAATATTTGAACAAATTTGGAAAACTGTCCACTCAAATTGTTGCGGCCAAGCATCAATGATTGCAAACTACATAACCTAGTGAAAGAATGAGGCTCTGCTCCTTCAAGATGGTTGACAGAAAGATCAACATGTGCAAGAGAGCTCATGTTTCCGAACACATCAGGAATCGAACCGGTCAATTTGCTGAAAGAGAGATCAAGATCAACAAGGCTGGTATTGTAGTTGGACATCCATAGAAATATTGAAGAAGTTGAGAGATGGTTCATGGGAAGAGCGATGCTAGAAAGAGATTTAGAGGAATTTATGCTTGAAAGAGTGGAACGAACTGGAGGAGAAGGAAGACTACAGTCCTGTAATGTCAAGTTTGTTAGTGTGGGGAGTTTATTAACTGCTTCCGGCCAATCAAAAGCATTCCTGAGATTGGCAAAACTCAAGTCCAAATATGTCAACGAAGAAAGACGAGTCAGCCAATTGAGATTTTCTACATTATAGAAGTCATTAGCACTGAGATCAAGATATTGCAAGTTGGTAAGGTTTCCAACCTGAATTGGAAATTTTCCACCAAAATAACACCAAGAAAGATCCAGGTGTGTTAAGTTGGTTAGAGAACCAATGAAATCTGGAACTGTGCTCCCGTTGAAGAAAATTCCCTTAAGGTCTAAATACCTCAAATGCTTCAACTCAATCAGTTTAGGACTAATCATCGTACCTTGCAAAAAATCGTCTCCGAGATCAAGCTGAACAACATGGCCAGTTTGGTTGTCACATGAGACTCCTTTCCATCTGCAACAGTCTTGTTTTGCGGCTTCTGTTCCCCACGAAGAGAATATTACTTGGTTATCCTCGTCCATGATGAGGCCTTTTTTGAAAGCAAGGAGCGCTTCCCTTTCGTTCTCTCTGCAACGCATCGTCATATTAGCATCCCCGTGGCCAAGGTTCACATGTAGGATGATGACTAATAGCAAAAGCACCATAATTCCCCCCATCTTAAAAAACAATAACAATCAGGATCAAGAGCCAGAAACACAATTAATCACACAAGTTGTAATGAAGATATGAAGCTTGCACGACAATACAAGCAACACAGCAGACAGCACCCCTCAGATATAAATGCAAGAGTGCATTGCCTTTGCCCCTTTTGTTCAACCATCCAAGTGAGTCCAAATTTCGAAGGGTAGAGCAGAGCCCTTTAATATGTAATATGTCTATAAACATGACCTGTTTATGCTCAGATGAACTTTCAAAGAAAACTCAAGATTAATGACAGACTGACAATTTAGTCTCCAACTTGTCCTGTGCGGAAAATATCAGGTGTTGCGAATAAGTCGTGCCGGCCATAATAATTTATAACTTTTTTCATTTATTTTCTACGCGTAGGGAAACGTCTTTGGGCCTTTGGCCCCTTTCTCTTATTTCTTCATTTTCTTTCTTTCTTTACTGGTGGGCTCCGTTTAATACGGTTTAGTTTTTGCCAAAACCAAAGTTATTATTTGGTTCAGTTTTTTTAATTTCTTAAAGAGTAAACAGAAGTAATTCGGTTTGGCCTATTTCTGTTTGGTTTTGATTTTTTTTGTTCACTTGAAAGTTGGAGAGAAATGAAAAAAAAAATCTAGATATTTGGGAAAGATAATCTGATTTCAAGTTTGACGAATAGCAATCAATCACTTTACATCTTAGGAGTTTACATGTTCAATGAACTATGAAAAAAATAAAGGGAAACTAACGAAAAGTAAAAAAAAAAACTTTAGTTTTAATGAAAAATGACAAATAAATGTGTAGTTAATAGTACTAAGAAAAGGTAAAAATGTGATTTTTCGTTAAAAGTGAACAGTACCAGGAGTGTTTTGTTAAAACTCCTAAAAAATAAACCACAATTTAACATTACAATCATAAAATAAGTATTCCACTAAACAAACAAACAAGTCTTTAAAGCAGGAATCTATTACAAATCGAGTTTCAGGTTCCAAAAGTTCAACTTCTAACCATTTGAAGCTCAAATGAGAGTTTGCTTATACTTAGGGGAAATAGCCTTAAGTGTGTTGATAGAATTTTTACCACTTATAAAAGTAGGGATAAAAACACTTAAAATACTTGTAAGAGTACAAGGTAATCGTAGTATAACAACTCTAACAAGGTCATTTTCCATAGGTATTGGATGAATAATTTATGTCAAACTAAATCTTAATTAATTATTTAAAACAAAGATTGAGAAAAAGGTGATTTTATGACCTAAAATATTATAAACGTAATCTAATAGAAATAATTAAAAAACCCTAGCAATGTCGTTCTCCATTAGGGTTCCGCCGTCACCTTAACAATCATTCGTAGTTTTTCCATCTACTTATGACTTACACATGCATATTTTGAAGGTTAGGTTTTACTAAAGTATGCCTACTTGGACCCCCAACATAGAGTGTATATCAAACATGCAACTTGTGCGGTATTCAGATCAAATCTAAACATTCATGACTCAAAAACCATGCAACTCTTAAGACGTGATATTCATCCTAAGTGAACTTGCACATATTAACCACAAGAAGCCATCATCAAGTTCAGGGATCGACCTCCGACCAAAATTACATCAAATTACTTTTGTAAATATCCTAATGGTGATCAAGTATCAAGATAAATATATAGCTTAAACACGGTAATTAATAATTCAAACCTGCATGAATAATATCATAAGAAAATTGAAAAGAAACTACATATTCTTGCTAAGGCTTGTGGTCTTACCCTAACAAAAAGAATTAGTTACGAACAATCATAAAACAAAATATTTTTAAAAACAAGGATAGAAAACACCTTGTAAATAACCAAAAGCTCTCTAAGTCGAATTCTCTAAAGTAATGCGTTCTTTTCTCCAAAAAAAAAAACCCTAATGGCTAAAACGCCTTATTTATACTACTACAAAATAAAATCCTTGCTAAAAAGGTGTTCTAAAAAGTAGGAAACACAACAGAATAAAATAACTAAAGCGTACATTACTATTCTAACTTTGGGAAATATACCTAGTCACAAAGAATCCCACATTTATGGATCTTCGGGGCTTCAAAACAGACTCAAAACGACTTAAATTAAAGCTTGAGATGTCTCCAACATAAATGCAGAAGGCCTCAAACCCAAAAGGCATCATCTTGGACGCCAAAAAGCCCAATTAAGCCCAAAACGTCACTTTGACAACACTAGTGCTGCTCCTTTATTTAATCGCTATAAATAAACCGATGGATAGAAAAATCTGAAACTTTGACATGAACAAGTTGAGAGACACATGAAGATCCTCTAATAGAATCACTCCAAAATTATTCTGTTTGTTCATTTATTTCCTAGGAGAAAGTCGAATGTCCTACATTGGAAATATAGTTTAAAGTATCAAAATTCTCACAAAATAATCAATAAGTTATAATTAAGAATAGGGTAAAATATATAGTATAATATCGACTCATCATGTGTAAAATGACATCGGTTCACTTATTTCGGTTCGATTTCTTAACCACTAAAACTGAACTAAACCAATAGATTTCAGCTTGTTTTGGTTTTTTTATTTAGTTTTTTCAATTTCTTCTTGTTAAACAATTCAATTTTTTTAAGTTTTCCCAAGCCACCCCCTATTCTTCCTCTCTATCTTTCTCTGTTATGTTCAAAGTTTGATCGATAAATGTGGAGCTAAAAATAATTCAGCAAATTATGGAGATGACAAGAATGCCATTATTAAATTGGTAAGGCTCACATTTATTCCATGCCTAGTTCAATCCTCTTGAAGACCTAAGCTGCTGACTACAATCTCTCCAAACTCTTATGCTCATGGTAAGGAGAAAAGTCAAAGGTATTAAAGATAGGGTTAATAACTAAATCTTATCTTTAACGTCTTCATTATTGAAGACTAACACAATCAAGTAAGGAAATACAATCATATCAAATCAAGGATACTATGAGATAATTCTAAGATATTATTTAAGTAATAATATCTTTGGAGTAATTCTTTCATCCATCCAATAGATGATAGTCCTTGGACAATGATAATCTGAATATTTGACGCAAATCCAAGGCAATAGGTGGAGTTCAAGTGACTCCACTAAATAACCACACTTGTTCCGCAAGACACACGATTTGATCCAGATATGGACACAATCAATCCTATAAGTCTTGGATTTCTTACAATCTAGGGATAGGCGTGCATTACAAGTAATCACACTCCTAAGATGATGCAATATCTGCTTACTAGATATCCTCTAGGATTCTTCCAACTTAGAATGAGGATTCTATCTTGAATAGGATCTACGGTAAAGCAACCTATACACTTGAATTCTTTTGTCCACTACTTGAGTCTAAAAATCCATTCGCTAACTTGACTATCAGAGAGCCTTTGGTTAGCACACCCCTCTCTCGGCCTAAGGTTTGTTTACGAGTTGTTTATTGTTTTGCAGGTTGCTCAGGATTACACGAATTTGTGCTCAACCGCTGCTTACGGAGGTGCGCAGATTTGTTTCCAACAATTGGTGCTTTCATTGAAAAAAAACCTATATTCCTCTCGATTAGACCACTCCACCAGCGAACATGTCAGCCGAAAAAAGTTCAGTTAATGACCACGTCAACCCGTATGGCGAAGAAGACCTTCCCTTTGATGCATCAGTTATCCTTAGGGCAACAAACCCATTACCTTCGACTACAACAGCCAAACTCGGAGCCAACAACGACCCCTTAGGGATGGCGGATGCTCCTAGAGATGGAGGAGGCCTAGTCAGGAGACCTCCCCCTTCCATGGACTAAATATGGGAAACTCTGACCAAGATCAATACTTCTGTCGAAAAACTACAAAGAATCAGACTGCTACTTATGCTGCGAGCCATTCCAACTTTGTAGATATAGAAAGACAGATGAAGAACCTAGAAAGCTTAAGCGGGACAATGCCCTCTACCCAAATCTCTATCTTTGGAATTGGAACATAAGTACCATGACTCCAAAAATGGACCCCAGAGCATCCCTAATCATTCAGGCCTCGGCAAACGTCGTAAAACCCAGAAGAAATCATGCTGGTGATGTATGAATCCTAGGGCTAGATGCTGGAGAAGGATCCCAGAATCCGTAAAGTCAAAATACCCCTGGGGTACTAAGAACGAAGCCCCGCCGATTGAGGTTTGACGAACCCTAAGCTCCTGAAGACCAAGAACAGCGACATTTCTCGAATGGAGAATACCATGCAGGTCTCATCCAGCCATGAACTCTAAACAAGCCGATTGTCCGGATCAGGACGCCCCTTTCTGCAATAATCGAATGAGCGCCCAGCCTTCAGTCCAAAAAGTTATGAAGCTCAAGGAATACAATATTTTGCAAGAGACAATGATGATGAGCATGAATGGAATCAAAACCTTCTTTAGTGACTAATCAACTCTCCTAGAGAGATACTACAAAACTAACAACAAACTCAAACTAAAGTTTCCCGCAATTTATTAATAAAAAAAGCACTAAACTGTAATTCTTAAAACTCACAACACTCTGCCACTCAATACTACGGTCTAGTAGTATTCCCTTTTATTTTCGAGTAAAAGGTTTTAGGTTCAAATATCGTGAATAGCGAATTCGATACCAAATTAGGTTATCCATTGTATGGCTTAGCCGAACTCTCCCCTCCCCTTAATGTAAAATATATCGTTGTACTAAAAAAAACTCACAACTCTCTAGATTCACAAACCTCATCTTACCATCGTCTATATGTAGCTTAGTCACCATTCTACCAAATACGCCAATTTTAGTCGCATATATAAAGTGGGAGGTGTGAATCCAACAAGATGGTTGAGATTTGAAACGAATAAAAGTAGGTAGAAGGAAATTACTTAGACAGAGAATAATGACGCGGTTCAGACAAGAGAATCAATCATTACGCGTTCGAAACCCTCGTCGCTAAGTGTATGAAGAGTGCAAGAGAGTCTTTGTGATGGCTGAGTAATTTGATCGTATTAGTTTTCTAAAAATGCCATTACAATTATATATGCATGAATGGAACATACAAATATCAACGGCCAAAATTAGTTGCGTGAGACTGATGCTAACAAGGGTGTGCTATCCATACACCTCATTTTACTTTTCACACACCCCTTGATAATTTTTGTCCGTTTATCTTTTTCAATTCATCTGATCCGACGGCCAAAAATTAAAAAGGTGTGTGAGAAGTAAAATGGGATGTGTGGATATCACATCCCTTTCTTAAATATAAGACTATATGGGCCCACAGTCTCACATCACACGTTAGTAATATATTTTAGGCTTATTTTTAGTTATGTTTTATGGAGTTTTATTTTG